AGAGCAGCACACGGAAACGCCGTTTACCTTCCCGCCGGAGCGGCACCTATTTATCTACTTGCACTTTGAGGTGCTTTTGAACTGCTAGGTTGGCAGGAGCAGGGACCAAGCAATGGGAGCTCACCCCGTTGTGGGGATTCGAACCGCCAACCTTCTGATCGGCAAGTCCTAGGCGCTGTGATTTAACCCATAGTCGTTGCCAAATTTAATGCCATGAGATGGTGATGAAGGCTGCCAGCTTAGATGTATTTGGAAATAGGGTTGAATAGATGAATGAACACTGCAGCAGTGGCTTAGAGTGAACCCTCCATGTTTGGAAGCAGTATACCTCCCGCTTCCAGAAAGTGGGGCCAAAGACGATGGCTGTCATATTCACATATGTGTGCTTTCCTAAAGTTGGCTGCTGTTGGCAGCAGAATGCAGGATGGACCTTGACCTGATCTAGTAAGGCAATGTTTATGTTCTTATCTTGAGTATGCACTCTTAATTATGTGCAGGGGAACAGGCTGACCACCTCACGAACGGTTCACAACCTTTACCCCTGCTCCATCACATTCTGCCACTTGGCTCAGAGTTTGTACTCTGGGCTGCTGCTTGGCTCATCAGCATGTGTATAGAAGTTGTTTTCATTTAATGGGGCATGCACCCTATTTTTAACCTGGCCAGATGTGATGAAAGTCAGGGACACCCCCATCAATCATCCAATCACCTTCTTTCAAAGTTTGTAAGGAATTTATATCACCGTTCATCAGCACTTTTTTCTAGAAAAAGAGGTGCTGGAACTTGCCATGAACACCTCCCTTGTTCTCTTATAATGGCAATGGTGCACACCTGAGAGGTGCCGGAATTGAGTTTTGTCGAGTTCTGGCTTAAAAAAAGCCCTGCTGCTCATGTTCTTTCAGGGTGTGTGCATCACACACGATGCCAGGATTTGCCTTATCTCCTTCTGAACATTTCTCTATATTTTTCTGAATAAATAGTGATCTAATTCCTTTGAGCTGAAACTACTGTCAGGTATAAGCTACTTCTAGGACATTCCCTACCGCAGCAGGAGCATAGCTGTTAACCTTCCCCTTTTTTGCGGGAAATTTCCTTATTCCAGCGCCATTTCCCACTGCTTCCCGCTGCTATCCCGGATTGTTAGATATCCCGTAGACTGTCCCCGGGACAGGTGAGGCTGCTGATCCCTTATTTTCGAGGCTGCTGATCCCTTATTTTCAAATCTGAAAGTTGACAGCTATGAGCAGGAGTAAGAAATGTGTGGTGGGAGAAGCCAGCCCCTGAAGCCATGCCATGCTTGCCTCTGCACTTGGCCTCCTCCACCCTGTTTTTTGGGAAATGAGGGGCACCGCCTCACCCCAAATATTGGGGGCGCCCAAATGACTCAACTCCTAGGAGCTGGTGCCTCTGCTGGAGGGCATCAGGCTGGGGAAGAGTGTCCTTAAGTTTCCAGGACCAGCGCTTTGTGTCTTTACTCTAGAGGAGTGCCTGGATGAGCAGCTTACAGTTCATAATGCTGCTTGCTCTATTCTAATATTTCTTCCGAACAGCTTCAGCAAACCTCACAAGATCTGGGAAACCAACACAGATAACAGGGAAATATGTTTGCATAAGCATTCTCTAGCACAATCTACAATCTCCCCTCATTTCTCTCTCTCATGGCAATGCCCTTGCAGGCTGAGCTGGGAGTCCTTTTGGCCTTGAGATGGTAGTGAGGGGAGAAGTTCATGCTTTTTCTTCATTCGTGGGCCTTAGAGGCAATATTTTGTTTACTTGCACAGAAGATCCTGATTAAAAGGTCTGCTACCCAGGGAAGCACAAGTGAGTTTTGTTTGTGCCAGTCCTCTGGAGCAGAAAGAGTGCCATTGACTTGTTGCATTCTCTCCTCATGCCCACCTGTCATTTTATATCTGTCTGGGCACAGGGTGCCCTGGAGTATATGGCTGGAAAACACTGGGTACGTGCACAGTGCTGCTGATGCACTCAAGTTGCAAGCCTTCGGTATATGACCCTTTCCTGTGTGTAGAACACAGTGCAATTTAGGGCATGAAAATAATAATAAATGCCTCTCCACTTAACTTGAAAGCACAAGGGGGAGAAGGAACGGCATGAGCGCAGCTGTGTAGGGCTCATCTGGTTTAGCTACAGGTCAAGAGTGAGGTGAATCTGCGCTGCAGGGGCCTACAATGTGTTTTCTTGGCTCTTGAGTATGTTATTTGTCCTTAAAGTCATAAGAAGTGAATTTAAGTTCAAACATCTGACATGAAAACTGAATAATATCCTAGTTTAGAAAAACTAGTGAAAGCACAGGAAACAGGAAATGATGTTTGTGGCCAAGCTGACCTATCTATGATGGTCACTGGACCTGCTATTGAGCATTCTGCCTGATTTTTTTGCTGAGAGGTTACACAACATTGGCTAGATTCTGATTTCTTTGAGGGGAGGTCAGACACTCTCCAACGCATTTCCTCATCAGTTTCCTTATTGCAAAAAGTGGGGAAAGTGGGTTTGTTGCATAAGACTCAACCTTGCATCCCAACAAAGCCAATAATAGGGATGGCTGGAGACAAAAGTGAGTGGGGCCATCGCTTGACACACAGTCTCTCTCTACCCAGTGGGCTTTGGGGAGGGGGGGAAGGACAGGCCACTCTTGCCAGAGGCCTGAATCAAACAGTTGTAGAAGGCTTTCACACACACCTCCTCCCATCACTCTATCCATTTTGGCTCCCATGCATTCCCTCCATGCTTCTCCCATGCGCCTTCAGGCTGCAGGTTCTCAACTCCTGGACTAGGGAGTTAGCCATGGGTGACCCAAGATTCCACACAACTGGGATTAAGTAAGTGGCGCTGTGGGTTAAACCACAGAGCCTAGTACTTGCTGATCAGAAGGTCGGCGGTTCGAATCCCTGCAACGGGGTGAGCTCCCATTGCTTGGTCCCTGCTCCTGCCAACCTAGCAGTTCGAAAGCACGTCAAAGTGCAAGTAGATAAATAGGTACTGCTCTGGCGGGAAGGTAAACGGCAGTTCCGTGCGCTGCTCTGGTTTGCCAGAAGCGGCTTAGTCATGCTGGCGACATGACCCAGAAGCTGTACGCTGGCTCCCTCGGCCAACAGAGCGAGATGAGCGCTGTAACCCCAGAGTCGGTCATGACTGGACCTAATGGTCAGGGGTCCCTTTACCTTTTCCAGTTATGAAACTACAACTAGAAACAGAGGTCTAATCTCTCTAAGGTAAATCACAAAGAACCAGGCCTAGAATTTTGCATTTATAATATGCTACCCTAGATTTCAGTTCCAAGATGCAATGCTTTCTGCCAAGATGCATGCAAACCAACCCAAGATGCATGCAAAACCATTTTATAGACTTGTTACAGTAGAACATGTTAAACCTGCCTAGCTCATAAATCGTTCATATGCTATTATTGTGCTTGCATGCCAGATGAAGTTTGAACTGCCTGTTTAATACTGGAAAGGTAATTGACCTTTCTTACCTGCAGAGCCTTTTCCTCATGATGTTTATCCTTTACAGCTAGTAAAATGCCTTTCCAAATTAGTTCTAGCCCATAAATTAGCTATAAACAGAGAATGCATCAAACTAATGCCATTGACATTAGTTAATGGTTTTTAGTGTCCGTAGCTGGCTTATCAACTCTGAATTTATATATTTTTAATCCTTAACTTCTTGCAGAACCAGCTACCTACTAATCACAAATGCTTCTCTACAGTGGAGTGCGGTGAAATGTTGCATAGGAGAACAGTTACGGCCAGACGTGCCAGCTTGCGAGGGCGATGGAGGAGAGGAGAGGGAATGTTGTGCACACAACGTTCTTCCCTCCACCAGGCCTCAGACAGAATGCTGGAACCCTGCTGCCTCCCACCCAAAACCAGGACTAGCTTAGTCCCCCTAGTCCAGTCTAATCTAGTGGATAGCACTCTATGTTAGAGAAGCAATCCATGCCTCCAGCGACAAAGTTTGCTTCCAGATTACCTGTTTAATTAGCATTCAGCCTGATTTGTTTGCAGAGAGATTTGATTATGTGTCAGCTATCTAATGAGCATTTATCCTGATTTATTTGTGTGGGGACTGGATGATGTGTTATCCCACACCTTCCAGTGCATTTTTTTGTTCACTTTCCTTTTCAATATAAGTCTGATCTTTTGGGGAAGTGGGTTTGTTTTGCAAGCGCTCTCAAATCAGCTTTAATTGTGCAGTGAGAGTTTGCCAAGATGCAATTAAATCTCACCTGGCGGGGGGAAAAGACAGCCTGGAAGTGCCCAGACTATGTACTTTATTCATCTTTTATGTACCCCTTCTAGAACAAACTCAATACAATTTATCAGGGCAGATGAACCACCTACTAACCGTACCTCCATCTTCTCTGGATTCAGTTTGAGCTTACAAGGCTGCAACCCTTACTTCCTAGATTGTGTACAGTATTAAGTTCCAATGAGATCAATGACACTTGCTTCTAAATAAATATGCTTAGGACTACAATGTAAAAGATGCCGAAAATGTCTGCAGCTGGATTTGATGCCTCTCCTTCCCCTCCCCATCACAAGAGCGAGAGAACATGCTCTTTTGTTTGCATCAGGAGCCAAGTGTTATGTTTTGCAGTGGGAGCTGACCCAGTTCTCTGCTGAATCCGTTATTGACTTGTCGGCTGCTGCTGCTCTCTTTGTACAGAGCCCTGTTCCCTCAACTGAAGGTGCTTGTATAGCATTTCACTCAGTTTTATGAAACTCTGTTCTATGATATAATGAGCTTTTGCAAAAAGAGCAAGTGCTACCGACTTCAACTGAGGTCAAAAGGATCTTTCTACCATTGCACTACAATGTTCTGCTTTATGCTGCTGAAAAGCTGTATCAATAGACTTTCTTTTCGGTGCATAACTTACTGCAGTGGTGCAACTAGGGAATTTTAGACTCTGGACTTAACAGTCGGTGGGGGATATGGGTGGGGCTTTAAGATAGCCATGTTTATCACTTCACAGCGAGTATTTCTTTTTTTTTTTTTAATAATGTTTATTAAAATTTCACAAGAAAAAACACCGCATTAATGAAGAAAAAATTAACAATAAAAAGAAAAAATACAAAGGAAAAAAGGAAAAAAACAATTAAAAACAATTTCATCTTTTCCTCACTTCTTTTACATTTACTTGTTTCTCGGACCTCCTCTTACCCCCCTCTTTTGTATTCTAATTAAATATGTTAATCCAACAATTCCTTTCCCTCCTTTTTAATCCTAATCTTTAATCTTAATATAATATAACTTAAAATTTTAGATTTTAGATATTAAAACCAATTTTTCCATATTCTTTTAGCCTGTACAGCTAGAAACCCCTTAACTTCAATCCAACATCATTCTAACATTCATTAATTTTGCAATATTTCTGTAAATAGTCTTTGAATTTCTTCCAATCTTCTTCCACCGACTCTTCTCCCTGGTCACGGATTCTACCAGTCATTTCCGCCAATTCCATGTATTCCATCATTTTCATCTGCCATTCCTCCAGTGTGGGTAGATCTTGTGTCTTCCAATACTTTGCGATGAGTATTCTTGCTGCTGTTGTAGCATACATAAAGAAAGTTCTGTCCTTTTTTAACACCGATTGGCCGACTATGCCCAGGAGAAATACCTCTGGTTTCTTCAAGAAGGTATATTTAAATAACTTTTTTATTTCATTATATATCATCTCCCAGAAAGCCTTAATCTTTGGGCACGTCCACCAAAGGTGAAAAAATGTACCTTCAGTTTCTTTACATTTCCAACATTTATTATCAGGCAAATGGTAGATTTTTGCAAGCTTGACTGGGGTTATGTACCACCTGTATATCATTTTCATAATATTTTCTTTTAAGGCATTACATGCCGTAAATTTCATACCTGTGGTCCACAACTGTTCCCAGTCAGCAAACATAATATTATGTCCAACGTCTTGTGCCCATTTAATCATAGCAGATTTCACCGTTTCATCCTGAGTGTTCCATTTCAACAGCAAGTTATACATCTTTGACAAAGTTTTAGTTTTGGGTTCTAACAATTCAGTTTCTAATTTTGATTTTTCCACCTGGAAGCCGATTTTCTTATCCAAATTGTATGCCTCCATTATCTGATAATAATGAAGCCAGTCTCGCACTTTGTTTATTAGTTTTTCAAAACTCTGCAATTTCAATCTGTCTCCATCTTGTTCCAAAATTTCCCAATATTTCGGCCAATTGACCTCCATATTGAGCTTTTTCAAGGCTTTCGCTTCCATCGGTGACAGCCACCTTGGGGTTTTATTTTCCAATAAATCCTTGTATCTTATCCAAACATTAAACAGTGCTTTCCTGACAATATGGTTTTTAAATGCTTTATGCGCTTTGACCTTGTCATACCACAGATATGCATGCCATCCAAATACATTGTTAAAGCCTTCTAGATCCAAAATGTCAGTGTTTTCAAGAAGCAGCCATTCTTTCAACCAGCAAAATGCTGCTGATTCATAGTAAAGTTTGAGGTCTGGCAGGGCAAATCCACCTCTATCCTTAGCATCTGTTAGTATTTTAAATTTTATTCTGGGCTTCTTGCCCTGCCAGACAAATCTAGAAATATCTCTCTGCCACCTCTTGAAACAGTCCATTTTGTCCAGAATTTGCAATGTTTGAAACAAAAACAACATTCTAGGCAATACATTCATTTTTACAGCAGCAATATGACCCAGCAGTGAAAGCTTCAAATTTGACCAAATTTCTAAGTCTTTTTTCACTTCAGCCCAGCATTTTTCATAGTTATCTTTAAATAAGTTCCCATTTTTTGCTGTCAAGTTAATCCCCAAATATTTAACTTTCTTAACCACTGTTAAACCTGTCTCATTCTGAAACCTCTCTCTCTCTATTGGTGTTAGATTTTTCTCTAAAACCTTAGTTTTTACCTTATTCAATTTAAATCCTGCGACTTGACCAAATTCTTGAATCAATTCTAAAACCCTTTTGGTACTAAATTCTGGCTCCTGTAACGTCAATACTAAGTCATCTGCAAATGCTCTCAGTCACAGCGAGTATTTCTCTTCTCCGCCTCCTCCTCATGCTTTACAAATGCTTCTACATTCTTGATATGTTACAGCAAAAAAACAAACAGATAACAGTTTGCCAGCCCTGGTTAAAGGTAAATAAATACTCTCAGCATGTGCTGTTTTTCATTCTGTATTCACTTCCATCAGAGCACTATCAGGACCACAAGAACATGAGTTTGTTTCTGCTGTCCTGATGCGAAATGTATTAACTTGGGAATCAGCACCACATTGTTCTAGAAAGGGATAATATATTTTAAAACTAAAAATAATGCAATGAGCATCTGTTACCATGCACAGCCAGCTACCCTCTCACTTAAAAAAGAGTTGAGAAGGATGTGCAGGAGTCTGCGCCATCCTCTCTGGGTCCCTAGCTGCCCATATGCCTGTTTGGATCTGCCCCGAACATCTGCTGCTTTTTCGGAGGTCATTTGGGACCCGGGACTTCGGCCACTGACCTGCAAGCCCCGTTGTGCTATGGGCAGAGAGTTGGTTCCCCGCTCTTTTATCAAGTCGCTCTTGCCTCGGGCAGCGAACCAGGAACTAGGAAGTAGCTTCAGCCTCCGATTTTACCGGCAGTCAGGCTGCGCGCACCCTCCCCAATCCGAATTGAGAAAAAAACCCGACCTGGTCGGTGTGCACACCCTCAGCCCGGCAGACTGCGAACCGGGACGTCGCCCCCTCTTTCCCAAGCTAATGACTGGGACCGGATGACTGGCGGTCTTTCGAGCCACGTTCCTCTCGGTCGACGCGCCGCCGGAAGAATTTTGGCAGGTCCTTCCCGCGCTCCCGCCCTCAGAGCAAAACGAAGCGGGAGCTCGTGAGGCCGCCGAAAAGGTTCCCGAGCTCTCGGTGCGAGCGGAAGGCGGGAGAAGAGCTCGGCAGGCCCACCCCCACCCCGCTTTCCCGGAGGCTGCGCAGGGCGCAAGGCTAACGGCGCCGCGCGGCTGCAGACTCCCGGGCGGGACCGTCGGGGGGCGCGCGCCTGCGCCACTTTCTGCGCCCCTCCCGGGGCTTTTTCGCGGGACAGAGAGAGTTGCCATGGCAATAGCAGGAAGCAGCGCAGAGGGGCGGGGGGCAGGCAGCCAATCCGCGCCTGGAGGGGCGTGGTGGTGGGCGTCCAGGTAGCTCCTTCCAACGCGGGCCGGGGGGGGGGGGCGGTGGTTTCTGGCTGACGCGCCTCGGCGGGCGGGGCGTGGTGACGTGCGCCGTGGAGGCAAACCTTGAGCTGGCAACATGAGCCGCGAAAGGTGGGCGCAAGAGGAAGAAAGTCCGGCGAGGCGAGGCGCGCGCGCGGGGGGCGCTCGCGGCACCGGGGCTGCTGGCTGAGGGAAGAGCGAGGGATCCCGTCGGAGGAGGAACTTGTCGCTCAGCGCGCACTTCCTCGGCCGCTATGGTGAGCGGGGAGCCGGAGCTCGGAGAGAAGCGGACGGGGTATCGAGCCGAGCCCGACCTGCTGCAAGAGGCGAAGCCCGAGCCGGCGGACGCCGAGACGCCCAACGGGTCCGCGCCGGGGTCGGAGCCGGAGGTGCGCCTGACGCGGCGGCGCTGGGCAATCGTCTTCCTCTTCAGCGCCTATTCGTTCTGCAACGCTTTCCAGTGGATCCAGTACGGGAGCATCAGCGTCGTCTTCGCGCGCTTCTACGGCATGACCCCTTTCGCCATCGACTGGCTCTCCATGTGCTACATGATCGTCTACATCCCGCTGCTCTTCCCGGTCGCCTGGCTGCTCGACAAGAAGGGGCTGCGCCTCATCGCCCTGGTGGGCTCCGCTCTCAACTGCGTGGGCGCCTGGGTGAAGACGGGCAGCACGAAGCCAAACCTCTTCCCCGTCACCGTCCTGGGACAGGTCGTCTGCTCGCTGGCCCAAGTCTTCATCCTGGGCATGCCGTCCCACATCGCTTCCGTCTGGTTTGGGTCCCGGGAGGTCTCCAGTGCCTGCTCCATCGCTGTCTTTGGTAACCAGGTAGGTGGCAAAATATTCAGGTACGCATTAAGCCACGGGTTCCCAAGTTGTGATCCACAGATCACCAGCTGTCCACAAGCTTTACTCAGATCCTTCATAGTGTATCTGTGGCTGAAAATAGGAGATGGTGCATCCGTTGCCTTTTAATATTTGTACTGATTGCATTTAATTGCATTTGTATTTCTTATATTGTACTTTGTTGTGTTGCAGGTTGAAGTTTATAGAATTCAGATTGTGTCTTTCAAAACTTAGATACAGCTTTTCATTTACAAATGTATGAATCTCAAAGTGATTCAACTACAGCAGTTCAGCTGCAACAGCCACAACTAAAATAAAACTCAATATATCTACGATCAGGAAATGCCAGGGTAAAAAGGAAGGTCTTTGGGAAAGTGCCCTATTGTCAGTGCTCACTTGATCTCTACAGGGATCTACAGGGGTCACACCCACACCTTCCATTAAAAGCACATTTAACGGGGGCCCTTTTTTTGTATTAATCATTGTGCATTCGCCACCAAAGCAGCCACTATGTGTCCTGGTGCCTCTTTCAGATCAATTGAGCAAGTTGTCATGTCATTGCAATGGCAACACCATCAAAATAAATAAATTAGTGGGTGGGGGCACAAAAGGGACAAAGTAGGTTGAACCTTGTCCAACATATGGAAATGAAAGAAGCGATCAAAAATACAATTACAAATCATACAGCATCTAGCACCATTATAATTGCTACAATAGACAGAAGAATCATTGAGTGGTCCACCAATATTCTTAGTAGTGGTCCATGGCGAAACATGGTTTGAGGACCACCAAATTAAATAATGCCAACAATTTCCATCTTGTTCAATAGTATAAAGTCGGAGAGAAAGGGATGAGGGGGATTAGAGGAAAGGAGGTAGTCCTTTCCTCTGCATAAGACCACATAACACCGGTCTTGAAAGATCTACATTGGCTCCCAGTACGTTTCTGAGCACAATTCAAAGTGTTGGTGCTGACCTTTAAAGCCCTAAACGGCCTCAGCCCTGTATACCTGAAGGAGCATCTCCACCCCCATCGTTCTGCCCGGACACTGTGGTCCAGAGCCAAGGGCCTTCTGGCGGTTCCCTCGCTGCGAGAAGCCAAGTTACAGGGAACCAGGCAGAGGGCCTTCTCGGTAGTGGCACCCGCCCTGTGGAATGCCCTCCCATCAGATGTCAAAGAGAAGAACAACTACCAGACTTTAAGAAGACATCTCAAGGCAGCCCTGTTTAGGGAAGCTTTTCATGTTTAAAGACCACTGTATTTTAATATTTTGTTGGAAGCCACCCAGAGTGGCTGGGGAAACCCAGCCAGAGGGGCAGAGTATAAATAATAAATCATTATCATTATCATCTGATCTTGAGAGGGCTGATCCATGTTTTTGCTTGCCCCATGCCTAGAAAGGACAGGCCCACATGGTTTTCCACTTGACCCACTCTTTCTAGGCACAGGTCCAAGTAGTTTTCTCCATTCTCAGGGAAAACCTGCTCTTTAGCTCTAAATTGGAGCAAACATCAATCCATTCCAGAGCAAACCCAAATTGCTATTTGCCATTGGCCCATCTGGGGTTCTAGTTCCCCTGCCAATCAGCTGACATCACCCTGATCGGTGGGTGTCAGCTGGTGGGCAGGGGTGGTGGTGTTCAATTCTTCATTGGTGGTGTGCACTAGTTCCCTGCAGAGAACTGGTGTTCACAGATAATGCAACAGGATGGTACACTTAGTTCACCAGCTTATCAGCAGGGTGGTGTTAGTGTTAAATTCTGGTCAGTTTGCCTGAACAAATCACTTTGCATTGAAACCCCTGTGATCAGGAAGGGGGTTGAATCAAAACTCCTGCTAAAACTAACCCCCCCCCCCACTTTATCGGTGTGCTTTGATGTTCCGACTTTGGGACTTCAAAACACCAAATAACATGATGCCGTTGTGATATCAGATGATTTACAGGCAGGCCACCCACCTCTCAGATTTGGTTTGAGAGACCAATTCTGATAAGGATCTGACCTGTGGAGCCAAACAGGTTCCCCGCCTGTGATCTACTTTGTAGGCTAAAAGCTTGCTAGCATAAAGGAATCACTAACCAGTGGAAAGTAACAGTGGCGAGTAAATCTAGATGTAAGACATGTGTTGCTATACTTCCTCAGGCATGTGCATAGCTGGTGCACCAGCCTAAATTAGGCATAAATGCTCCTGGCAAATCCTGGTGCAAGGCAGAACCCAGGAGGATGCCCAGACTGTGAGTCTGATTCTTCAAGGTGAGTACTACCCCATCCAAAACAGGCTGAGTCCCTATTCCAGAGTCTGCATCCTTCCTGACTGGGAGTGCATGTATCTTGTTTCAGCTTCCATTTATTCATCCAGCCCATTACTGTCCCTAGGGATGTGCTTCTGCTAAAGTTCAGTACAGTGATACCTTGGTTTACAACCATAACCCGTTCCGGAGGTCCGGTTGTAAACCAAAACAGGTTGTAACCCAAGGCGCACTTTCACCAATGGGGCCTCCCAAAAAAAATAATGGTTGTAATCCAAAATAAAAATGGGTTGTAATCCAAAAAAAGAGACACACACTTAAGGGTCTGATGTGGTTGTAATCCAAAATGGTTGTAATCCAAAATGGTTGCAAACCAAGGTACCACTGTACCTTTCCTAGCTAACAGCCGAAGTCTGGAACAGTTTTCATGCTCTCCGAACAGCATAAGGTGGTTTTCCAGATTTTTATTGTTACTGAATTTTCAGAACTTCCTTATGAAGTTAAAATAACAACCCAGTTATTTTGTGCAGTTTTTCCCCCTCTCTTATTTTACGTCATACTTTATTTCTTACTGGTTTCCGATATATATATATATATATATATATACCAACATTTATAATACTGCATGATTGTAGTAAAACCTCTACTCTGATAAATATTAAAATTATCAATAAAGACAGTTAAAAACAATTAGTGGCTCTCTTGTGATGCTGGCAGCAGATCTGAGCTCTATACTTCCCCCTCCTTTCAAAATTGGCATTGTTATCAGAGAAGTGGCTTCCTGGGCAGGGGAAAATAAAGAAAATGTATGTGTACATCAAAGTACAATTGTCTCTGGTGAGTTTGTTTGTGCATGATGTGGAGGAAGTGTTCAATGTTCTCTATCCTTCCGCAGGGGTAGCCAGTGTGGAATCCAACAGATGCTCTAGGCTAGGACAACAATTCCCATCACCTGTGACCATGCTGGCCGGGGCTGGTGGGAGTCCAGCAATATCTGCAGACCACAGCATTGGCTCCCCTTGCTCTAGTCTCCCTAAATGCTGATTCTGCTGCATCAAAGGGAATTCCCACATGCATTTGCCGCTTTTATCTTGATTAAGAGGGAATTCCAGGATTTTCCTGCCTTTGCGTTTGTGGTTAACCTCACTGTGAAACTAAGGCCTTCATTTTAAATATAAGATCATGCAACTAACCCTCCAACCCTCAAAGACTGGGTTGTATTCAGCAATGTGCTCTTCTGATCCTTCTGCCAATGCAAGCGTTTTGGCTAGCCGGTTGAAATGCTCTCCTTCCCCTCCCTGCCCAGAGCAAACGCTGTTCTGGAGTTCTCCAGAAACCCTCTAAGCCAATCTGGGTGGGTAGAGAGTTGGGGAAGCCACGTTGTTCAAGCAGAAGTCCTTGCCAAGGGCTCATTAGGTGAATCATACCCTATTAAGAAAGTGAGAGGACCACAAGGCAGTTTATAATAAAAAACACAAAAATGCATAACATAGTAACAAACAAAAACAGTGCTCCCCTTGCAGTTTAAAAGGCCATGTTTCTGTCAAAATAGGTAGAGACAGGTGGGTTTTTAATGTTTGATATTTTGTTGTCGTTTTATAATTTGTTGGAAGCTGTGGAAACCCAGTCAGGTGGGCAGCAAGCAAACAAACAAATAAATCTAGCTGCTTTATAATAGCTTGTATTTGGAACATTTTCTTTGCAATGAATGGCCACCATAGGGGATGTATTAGTACTTCTGCAAACTTGATGGATCCTCTTACTTGAAAATTTCTCTTTATTTTCTTGCCAAGTATGCTGCTCTCCAGTTGTTTGTCCTAGACAGAATATTATTGCTAGCATCTGCTGTGCTCAATAATGGTGTTCTTTTCTAAAATCAGGATATTACGGAGCTGAACAAGAGCAAACAAAATAAGTTGCCCTCCGGCTCCTGTATAAGAAATGCTCTGTGTTCAGGTTCTTCCTCCTCACAGGCGTGGATTGCTGAAGGCAAAAGGGAAGTGCCTGATGCTGACATTGCGCAATAAGAAGATGTCTTGGCTTTCAGGCGCACTTCCTGAGTTCTGCACATGCAGAAGATATAGGCATAATAATAGCTGTGATCGTTAAAAGTCAGTGTCGTTGGAAGCAAATGTTTCCATATGAAGGTGTTGGTGAAGATTGCTGTATGCATTTGAAAGGAGATAAGTGTGCTTGTCTCACCGGACTGAGATTGCATGTCCTTAAGAATGATCTCTCACAACAAGTACCATTGATGCATTTTAAATGGCTCTTCATAGCAGAGACACTTAACTTTGTAAAACTGTTTGAGCTGTTAAGAGACCTAAGTCAGCAGCTGAACAGTTCCTCTGCCAGAGTTGTCGGGAAATGCACACATGCAGACAGAGAGAGAGAGAGAGAGGGAAGGAAGGAAGGAAGGGAGAAAAGAAAGAAAGAAAGAAAGAAAGAAAGAAAGAAAGAAAGAAAAGGTCAAATAGAACTCAAAGATAGAACATTTCTATGGGATTTGACCATGGGTCGGCAAACTAAGGTCCACGGGCCGGATCAGGCCCAATTGCCTTCTAGATCCGGCCCATGGACGGTCCGGGAATCGCAGAGTGGATCGCCAGCATGCATGTTCTTTCCCTCTCCCTCCCACTGCTGCACTTTCCTCCTCAGGGATGGAGCAATCGTGTCCCATTCTGGGTGCCATTGATGGCGGGAGTCGGCTCACCCACCTGCCTGCCTCAGCAGGGCAGTGCTGTGAAGGGGGCTGTCAGGGAACTGCCATCGGACGGAAGGGAGGTGAAAGGGCTCACACAGGTTGGGAGAGACGCAGCAGCTGAAGAGGAAACCAACAGGGAGGTGAAAGGGCTCACACAGGTTGGGAGAGACGCAGCAGCTGATGAGGGAACCAGCAGGGGGAGAGGAGCTGAGCTGGAGGGATGGCTCAGAGACACTTCCAGCGAAAACAGTGGAGAGGTTTCAGGACCTCCTGTAAGAACACCCACTCCTCGCCGGAAACTGTCACGCAGAGATTCCAGAAGACGTGTTTCCGTTAAGGAGCTTTTATGTTGGAAGCGATTACGAAAGCAACCACTGTCGGAATCTGCTAGTGACTAGAGTAGCCATGTCTGAGGGGCTCTGTCACAGACAGAGGTTTGTGGACTTGAACAAACTCTGAGGGGATACGATTTTACGCACAAGCAGCTCATCATCCCATCACAGCATTCCGACAGTCTTTGAAAGCAGCTTGTGCAGGAGAAGGTATCATGAGCAACCCAGCCGGAACCGGAGAAGCAGGAGCTGGAGCGGGTCCAAGCCTGGAAGAAAGGTACCAGATGTTGGAGGTCCAGCTAGCGATGCAGACGGCGAGGCTTGAGGAGAGGAGGGCTCAGGATGCAGACAAAAGGGGGAAGCCACCCAGTTCGCCAGAAAGGTACCAGGATTGGTGCAGAAGTTTGGGGGGGAGCCCAAAAACTATCATGGTTTTCGGACAGAAATGCAATATGCCCTCAATCTGCAGTTTGATGAATTCCCTGACGAGGAATCACGAGTGGCTTTCGTGATTGAGCATCTTGAAAAGGGGGCGAGAGACTGGGTTAGACCCCTGATGGCAGCGAATAGTGACGTCTTAAAAGACACGATGAAGTTCTTTCGCGCCATGGATCTGATGTTTTCCAGCGATATTGAAAAGGGAGTGGTGCGCAGACAGTTAATGGGTTGCAAACAGGGGAGCCGATCTGTCCGTGAGTACTGGACTGAGTTCACCATGCTTGTTCACAGATTGGGGTGGGACTTATCGGCGGAACCCATTCAAATGCTCTTTGAAGAAGGGCTTTCTTCGGCTGTGAAAGACGAACTTTCCCGGGCGCCCAGGGCGGAGTCTATGGACCAGCTGACCAAATCAGCGCTGGCCATAGGAGCGCGCCAGGAGGCGAGAGCATTGGAGAGGCGGGAAGGGAAAGGGGAACGTTGGAAGGAGTTCCGCATTCCAGACATTCCAGAGCCAACTTTCCCACCGGCAGAGCCGATGGAAATCGGAACAGCGCGCGCGCGCGCAGTTTCAAAGCCCAGTGAGGGGGCAAAGAAGGAGGGAAAAGGCGCCCGGAAATGCTATCTCTGCCAACAGCCAGGTCACTTTGCCAGAGTCTGCCCCCAGAGGAAAGAATGGCAAGGGATGGTAGGGGCTGTGGATGGAAGAGAGGAAAATATACCGGAGCAAGTAAAAGCCAACGCCTGGCTGCCACTGTCAGGGCACAGCAGCCAGGCCAAAGAGCAGTGAGAGTGCCCACGCCAGAACCTCCTAAACCCGCCCTAGTGATAGAAGTGACGCTAGAGCTGCCAAACGGACACCCTCTAAAGATAAAGGCGCTGTTGGACTCAGGCAGCTCCTGCAATTTCATGAGCAAAGAGTTTGCAGCTGAACACCAGATACAGACAATCCTTTAAGCAGCCCCTGCAGGTGACCACGATCGATGGCAGGGAGCTGTTGGGTTGAGAAGTCAGATTGCAGACCGTCCCAATGATAATGAAGGTAGCAAGGCACACCGAACTGATAGCTTTAATGTGGCCACCTTGGGAGGAGCTCCCATTATATTGGGGATGAGCTGGCTAGCGTTACATGATCCGCTGGTGGGCTGGCATCAGAGAGTGGTTTCTTTTGGTTCAGCACATTGCTTAGAACACTGCAAAGAGGGAAAGGGTTTGGCAGGGGTCCAAGCCACCCTAGCAGGGACTGAAGTAACAGAGAACGTGAAGGTACCACGACAATATGCAGATCTCCGTGACGTCTTCAGCGAAAGGGAAGCTGACCAACTACCCCGCATAGACCCTTTGACTGTCAAATCAACTTACTCCCTGGAGCACAGCTCCCTGTAGGCAAGCTGTACGCCATGTCAGACAGAGAGATGCAGGAGTTAAGAGAGTTCATTGACAAGAACCTGAAGAGAGGGTTCATCAGAGAGTCCAGGGCGGTGGGGGCAGCCCAGTGTTTTTGTGGATAAGAAAAACACGAACAAGCCGAGGCTGGTGTGTGACTTCAGGGCCTTAAATGCAGTGTCAGAACCAGTAGCCTTCCCTATGCCCAGGATTGACGACATTTTGACAAGGGTGCGGAAGGGAAAGATTTTTACAAAGCTGGACCTAAGGGGGGCGTACAACCTGGTACGAATAAGGAAGGGGGATGAATGGAAAACCACTATGTTCACCCCTTTAGGGGCATTTGAATATTTGGTTATGCCCTTCGGCCTCCAAGCAGGCTCCGCAACCTTTCAATCGTTTATGAACCACGTCCTGGGGCCTTTGCTTTACAAGAATTGTGTGGCCTTTTTAGACGACGTGTTGGTGTATTCTGAGAATGAGGAGCAGCATGTGAGAGACGTCAGAGAAGTGTTGAGCAGGCTGCAAGCCAACCAGCTGTGGGTGAAACTGGAGAAGTGTCAGTTTCATACCAAGGAGGTGGAATTCCTGGGGTATTGCCTGTCAGACAAGGGATTGGCCATGGATCCCGGCAAGGTCCAGGCTGTGCTGGAATGGAAAGCACCCAAAACAAAGAAGGATGTGCAGAGGTTCCTAGGATTTGGGAACTTCTATCGTAAGTTCATCCGAAACTTTGCCCACCTGACGGCGCCCATTACGGACTGTCTCAGCAGTAAGAAGAAGTTCGTGTGGACTGAGGAGGCGGAGCGAGCATTTGAGGAACTAAAAGGGCCTTCGCCTCGGAACAACAACTCCAGCATGTGGATTTACAAAAACCGATGAGAGTGGAACCTGACGCATCAGACAGAGCGATTGGGGCGGTGCTACTGCAGCCAGGCAAGAAGGGGTCAGAGTGGAGACCGTGTGCCTTTTTTCGCGAAAGCTGAACAAATCCGAGAGGAACTACACGGTGTATGACCGAGAACTACTAGCCATTCATGAGGCGTTCCGGAGATGGAGGCACCTGCTAATTGGCGCACAACATAAGGTGCAAGTGTGCACTGACCACAAGAACCTAGAGTATTGGAGGACGGCACGAGTGCTCAACCAACGGCAAGTGAGATGGGCCCAGGAGTTCTCCAAATTTAACTTTGAGATTAGTTACGTGCCAGGCCCAGAGAACATTAGGGCGGACGCTCTCTCACGCAAACCTGAATATTTGGAGGGGAGGGGCACCCGAAGAGAGACATGTCATTCCAGAAGACCGCTGGGTGTGTGGGGCGGCATTGGTGGGACAAAGAGAACTGGTAGAGGAAACAGAGAATGATGAATACGCCCAGAATAAGCTCAGAGGTCTTAGGGGTGATGGAGAGGAACCAGGGGGTTTCGAGGAAAGAAATGGAGCTTTGTATTACAAAGGGGCACTGTATATCCCTGAAGGAGAGTTAAGGGGAGGGTACTCAAGCAGTTGCACGACAGCCCTACGGCGGGGCATTTTGGACAACACAAAACCATGTGGTTGGTCACCAGGGAATTTTGGTGGCCTAAGGTGAGGGAAGATGTACGTGAGTATGTAAGAGGGTGCGAGCAATGCCAGCGAGCCAAAGGGGAAAGGCGGGCGCCGGCGGGGCTATTAGAACCCTTACCAACCCCAGAACGACCTTGGGAGGCAGTGTCGATAGATTTTATGACTGATCTGCCGAAGTCCAAAGGGAAAACAGCCATCATGGTGGTGGTAGACCTACTAACAAAGATGTGCCACTTTGTAGCTTGCTCGCATGCAGTCACGGCGGAAGAGACAGCGAAGTTATTTGTAGAAAACATTTTTAGGTTGCACGGGGTGCCATTGAGGGTGGTCTCAGACCGAGGAAAACAATTTACTTCCAGGTTCTGGAGGAAGCTCATGAGCTTACTGCAGGTGGAGGTCAATTTTTCGACTGCCCGGCACCCTGAAACCAACGGGCAGGCGGAAAGAGCAAACGGTGTCCTCCAGCAATACCTGAGGTGTTATGTCAATGACAGAGAGAATGACTGGGTAGAAAAGTTGGCGCTGGCGGAATTTGCCTACAACAATGCCGAGAATGTGTCCACAGGGATGAGCCCCTTCTTGGCTAATTATGGGTGTCATCCCAGGGCTTTCCCAGTGGGAGAGGGGGAGAGATGGAGCGTCCCGGCAGCCGAGCATTTTGTGGAAGAAATGGAAGCAATCCATCGTCAGCTCCAACTCAACTTAGAAAGGGCGAAGGAAGAATACAAGAGGCAGGCAGACAAGAACCGAAGGGAAGGTGAAACCATAAGGGTGGGAGATAGGGTGTGGCTGTCAACCCAAGGGCTGCCGTTCAAAGGAGGTTGTAAGAAATTAAGACCCAGGAGGTTGGGTCCCTTTGAGGTCATTCAACAGGTCAACCCAGTGGCTTTCAGGCTCCGGTTACCCAACCACATGAAACTGCACCCAGTATTTCACAGGTCGTTACTGTCACCGTACGAAGGGGGACGAGAAGGGCTGGCCACTCGGGACCGGTCGTAGAAGAAAGAGAATGCAGCAGCCATGTGGCAGAAATCCTCGACGCCAGGTGGAAGGGGGATCAGGTGGAGTATTTGGTAGCGTGGGAAGGAGAACCGGAGTCAGAAAACACTTGGGTAATGGCTGAAGATATCAATGACGAGGTATTGATAGAAACGTTCCATCAAAGGTTCCCAAGGAAACCTCAGCCTGTAGAGAGGTTCCGGAGGGAATACTTTGGGACCACTGATGAAGGGGAGGAGTTGGAAGGATTCCCGGACTCGGAAGGGGAAGGGGAGATGGACTCTGAGGAGGAGGTGTACTTCGAGACCAGGAACCGCAACAGGTTGAGAGAAGTGTTCGAGACATCGGAAGATGAAGGAAGTTCATTCCGGGTTTTACCTCCTCACCGCCCGTAGAGGAGGGGGCGAGAGGGGGTGAAGGGGGCCCTGGAGGGGAGGTGGATGTCAGGGAACTGCCATCGGACGGAAGGGAGGTGAAAGGGCTCACACAGGTTGGGAGAGACGCAGCAGCTGAAGAGGAAACCAACAGGGAGGTGAAAGGGCTCACACAGGTTGGGAGAGACGCAGCAGCTGATGAGGGAACCAGCAGGGGGAGAGGAGCTGAGCTGGAGGGATGGCTCAGAGACACTTCCAGCGAAAACAGTGGAGAGGTTTCAGGACCTCCTGTAAGAACACCCACTCCTCGCCGGAAACTGTCACGCAGAGATTCCAGAAGACGTGTTTCCGTTAAGGAGCTTTTATGTTGGAAGCGATTACGAAAGCAACCACTGTCGGAATCTGCTAGTGACTAGAGTAGCCATGTCTGAGGGGCTCTGTCACAGACAGAGGTTTGTGGACTTGAACAAACTCTGAGGGGATACGATTTTACGCACAAGCAGCTCATCATCTCATCACAGGGGCATATGACGCCGGCTGCCACTGCATTTTCCTCCTCCTCTTCCTCCCTCTCCCTCAGTCTGCCCTTCCTTCTTTCTCTGTGCTGCTTCCTCGCACGCTTTCTTCATCCCTCCCTCCCTCCTTCATTCCTCCCATGGCATTCAGGGGGGTTGTTGCAGTGGCTGTGGCTGCCGCTTGCGGGTTGGCAGGCAGCTCTGTCTTCACGGTGCCCCTCGGGAAGCATTAGCAGCAGCAGGTGGTGGGTAAAAGCTCCGGCAACGCCCTGGTTCCCCTACCTCCGTCCGCGGCTCCTCCGCCGGTACTGCTGCTTCTGCCTTCGCCAGCCAACGCCGCCTCCTACCCCGCCATGGCACCTGGCTGGCTGGAGAAGCCCAACTGCAGCTATTGGGACAACAACTGGGACAAGTAAAGCGAAGCATCTTCAGGCCTCTTTGCGGGCGGGCAAAAATCGTTGTGTCCCCCTCAAAAAAATATAGTTGGCCCCCCACAAGGTGTGAGGGACAGTGGACCGGCCCCCTGCTGAAAAAGTTTGCTAACCCCTGGATTTGAGTGTGGGGTCCCTCTTTTCCCTAAAGAGGGTACAGGTTACTGTAACAAAGAGTTGACTTTTGTAATTTTGCAACGTTTGCGGCTGCTTCATGGTGTAACATAGATACTTATGTAGTAGAAACATGTCAATGCGTTTGCCCGCTGCTTTGCACTTGGGCAGGAGTCCAGGGGATGCTGGCATATTTGGGGAGCATGTTGCCTGGGCATATTGCCTATGCTGCATTTTCATGGTGCATTGTTTAAGTATCTGATGTGACCAGACCCTCTTTCTGCCAGATTTCACATGTCTCCTTGGTTGAAATAAAGTTGATTTATCTTTCTGATGTCTCACTCTGTTGGAGTTTGGTAATTATATTATAGTGCAGAACAAAATAGTCTGGTTAGACTGCTGGCTGAAAGGATAAAGAAAACTCAAGGCCATTCTAAGTACAGGTTTACAGATGGCCAAGTTGGAACCAAGAAGGTAACAGTTAATACTGATACCTGTGGTCTTAAAAATTTCAGCAGCATCCTGTACGAGGCCAAAATTTAACGACTTTCCCAACTCTTATCTTCCATTCTGCTCAGTTCACTACATTATAATTGCAAAGCCCTCCAGCGTCCTTTCTGTTGGCACCAAGTGCACCAGACCCAATCGCACTCCCCAAAATCCACCTCTGCTGATACTGAACTTGTAGACGATACAGTAAGTAAAACCTGAATGAAAGGAAGTAGTTACTGAAAGAGAAGGAATCAGTGAGGAGGAAGAGCAGATTACCTTTCTATCTCTCACAATTTCCCTTTGTTCAGGTAGCTCAAGATAGCATCTAATTACCAACATTTATTCTAAAGGCTTGTCAGCTAGTGCGTTTGCCCCATTCCAGATAATCCCCACTTGTGCTTTTTCATTGTTTAAGTTATCACATGATTTCCTGGAACACACCACACACAATGTTGCAAGAGGGATCTATGAGACTCCTTCTGCTTTCCTGCTCTCCAGCTGAGTGTCTTGACCTTAAACCCAGAATGCAAACACTGAGATAGGGAGACAATGTTTTTGGGTTGCCATTGGGGACGTGGTACGTTAGACATATCTTGTAGACTCTGCTTTTGTTTCAGGGACAAAAGTCTGGATAATCTCTCTTATAAAATGTTTGATGCGATATCACACAGTACTGTTCCTTGAGCTGTTCATAATGTTTTTAGTAGCCCTCTGCCTTTCAGCTAGGCTGTCATTTTGTTTAGAGGAATAATTTGTCTGGTACTGTAGTTTTTTCAAAGTTTGCTGTTGTGACCCAACATGTTTGACTTATGTTTGGTGGCTATCCAAGGTGGGCTTTGGTGTCAAATTAATTTTATTTATTTATTTTTTATTTTTTTTTAAATTTGCATTTTATTTATTTGTTAACATTCTTATATTACATCGGTAAACGTTGTCATATTACATTACAGGACTTACTATAATATAATTTCCAACATGTATACAATAATTACATACAAATTTTATATACCTAGAAAGAAAATGAAACAAAAGAAAGAACAAAAAGAGAAAACAAAAACAACCCCCCCCCAAAATCATATACATACCAACACACTAGACTTCCTGTCTATCCCATTGTATATTCCCTTTTTACAAATGAATGTACTCTTATTATTGTATATTTCTTTACATTTTATCTAATACATTCCTATATCAATATGTGCTCTTAGTCTTATTTCTCAACTCATTCTCACTCCAACATCAATCAAATGCTAGCATAGATAGCGAACCTATACTGTATTTTTGAACATATGTTTTATATCTATCCCACTTTTCCATAAATTTTTGTTTTGAATTGCCTCTCAGGGTATTTCTTAACTGCGTCATTTCAGCAAATTCTTGTAGCTTGTAATGCCAGTCCGTTTTGTTGGGGCTTCTTGTTCCTTCCACCCCTTTGCCACCAAAGTCTGAGCTGCGGCCGTTGCATATAAGAATACCTCCCTAAAGGCCTTCGGGATGTCCTTGCCAACAATGCTTAACAGAAATGCCTCTGGTCTTTTTAAAAAAGTTATCTTCCTACATGTCCACCACATATGATGCATGTCGCCATTACTCCCACCACACCTCCAACAAGTAGTCGCTAAATTTTTATACATCTTTGATAGTCTTGAGGGGGTGAGGTACCATCTGTGCTGCATCTTTTCTTTGATGTTATAACACGCCGTAAATTTCATATTTGTTCTCCAAAGCTCTTCCCATTCGGCCATCATTATTAGATGCCCAATGTCCTGTGCCCATCTAATCATTGTTGCCTTAACCTCCTCCTCCTTAACTTCCCATTCCAGGAGGAGTCAATATATTCTCGAAATTACCCTGATTTTATTATTTATTAATTGTGTTTCGAGTTTAGAGGGCTGATTATCAAATCCAATCTTTTTATCTTGTTTAAATATTTCGTATATTTGATGGGGCTTTGGTGTCAAATTAAACTAGATGTAATTTCTGCAAATGAAGTCATAAATGGTAATGGTGTTCGGCAGAAACTGCCTTTAAGTTCTTGCATATTTTATTTTATTATATTGTAATATTATTATATTATATTATATTATATTAATAATGTCATTGAACTGATAAAAAATGTCCTGATACACGGGCTGGCAGGGTGGCCCTGGACATTTTGCCACTGTAGGCAAAATGCCCCATCACCTAACACCCCCCCATCCAGGCCCCCTCCCTACCCCCAGTGTTGTGCCCACGCTGTTGCCGGCCTCGCCACCAGAATTGCACCCTTGTCTGCAGCTGCACCCTCACTGTCTCTACGATGCAGCGGCAGTGGTGAAGGTGCAGCAATAGCAGTGAGGGCAAGGATGTTGTGGCAGCAGCATGGGCAGTGAGCTGGCAGTGGCACAATGGCAAAGCACGGGTTGGATCTGCTGCCGAGGCAAATTGCTTCACCTCCTCGCCGGCTTTGAGAGTTGTATGCTGAGCCAAATAAAACTGCACTGGATAATTGCAATATGCTTTTCAGAACATTCACACATACATTTGTAGTGCCCTTAAATATGTCCCTCACATATTGTGACTACAAATGCCTGCTAGCCAGCTAGATTAACCCAACCTTGCTGCTTTAACTTTGCCCTGAATGTGAGCCCAGGAGGGCCAGAAGTCTGCATATGCAAGGCAAGTTTTATTTGAGTATTGAACTGAACTAGGATGTGCATTTGATTCTGGGAAAGGAGGGGGACTGAAATGAGCTGAGCGAGGGTTTGGCAATGGAATTTTCCCAGGAAATACCAGAAAACATTTCCAAAGAGAAAAATATAATATAGTATAATATAATAATATAATATAAATAAAGGTGGCCAAGGAACAGTAATGCCTAATCTTTGCACAGTGTTCAAAGTGCTTCATGAGCACTATTGAGTTGCGAATGTTACAACAATCCTGCAAGGCAAGTCAGTTTTATAGTCAAATATTCTATTTCCAGAGTGCAGGGTGGCCACATCAGCACCCATGTATGAGAGGAAAGTATCTATAGGCTCGTGAGACCCCTGAAATGCACAAAAATACAACAGATCTTAGTATTGGCATCCTCTTAGCATCAGTGGTACATTTCTTGATGTGCAGTATACAGTAGTTTTCTGTGTATAAGACTAGATTTCTTAATTTAAAAATCATGTTCAAAATTGTGGGTTGTCTTATACACGGATACAACCTCCCCCCATTTTCTCAATTTGGAGTCCCCCCCAAAATAGGGGGCGTCTTATACACAGAAAAATATGGTAACATTGAAGCTGAGCTTCTCTTGGTGTGGATTTGAACAACTCCAAAGCAACCTGGGGAGCTTTGATCCTCTTTGTTTTCCCTTCTTACTCTTGAATCTGGACTCTTAGGTGAGAGCAAAAGGGAGATTTTAAAGGACAGCAAGGCCGAGGTACCACTGTAATTGCTTCTAAAGTCCAGGGGAGAAAGTGGAGTGTGTGTTTTACAGTGGTACCTCAGGTTAAGTACTTAATTTGTTCCGGAGGTCCGTTCTTAACCTGAAACTGTTCTTAACCTGAAGCACCAATTTAGCTAATGGGACCTCCTGCTGCTGCTGCGCCGCCGGAGCCCGATTTCTGTTCTTATCCTGAAGCAAAGTTCTTAACTTGAAGCACTATTTCTGGGTTAGCGGAGTCTGTAACCTGAAGCGTATGTAACCTGAAGCGTATGTAACCTGAGGCACCACTGTATTCCAGCAGAGATGTGGCTCCTGAAGAAATGACTGGGTTTGTAAAACTAGATGCCAGCCTGAGGGGAAATTAAGCAACACTGAGACACAAATAGCCTGCATACCACTTTCTGCAGCGCATCTGTTGATGCTTAGCTTGGGCCTGACTGCAGTGCACTTATTTTTGGGATTGGTTGCATTTATGGCAATGGCACATCCAATCCCCACAACCTGCACGTACCAGGGACTTCCTCTCCTCTGCTCAAGGCTGCTGTCCATACATATGGCTGACAGTGGGAATTGTGGAATAAGCACCGTTCTATTAAGGCTTCATCAGATAGTTGCAACCTTTACCATTCTGTATGAGTTTTACATGGCTGAAATATCTCCCTAGTGAGGAGGAAATAGGGTGTAGCCATGTGTCTTCTGCCCTTGTGGGTCTTGTAGTAGCCAGCAAAACCGGTGTGATTATTTATTTTGCTATATCTTAGTGCTGCTTTTCAGAAAATTATTGTTTGCCAAAGAAGTTCACATTAAAAAGAGAGGGAGGGAGGGGCATTGCTACCGGGCTTACAAAGACACAGCAGGGAAGGGGAGAGGGTAGAAGAAGTAGAGGAAGGAAATAAGTTATTTAAGGCCAGAACAAAGAGGTGAAGAATAAGCAGGCATTTCTCTCTAGCTGAGTTTAGGCCATTTTCTTTTTATTTATTTGCTTGTTGATGTTTCCTTATTGAATAGTCTTTTGGGGGCTCTTGTTCCTTGGTGGATGTAGAGCATCTTCCCATCTTGCTTCTGTGGTCCCAGTGCAGCTGGCATTTGGAGTGGAGCATCCTTTCTGCAGGTTTCCTGCAGCTGCTCCTTCTCTGGCTGATGGATGGGACCCTCTTGGTCTCCCCTTGGCCATGATGCTATTCCTGGGAGGCTGGAGGAGCAGCTTCACAGCACCTCCCCCTTGCTGCCTTTCGCTGACCCTGGGCAACTAATTTAAAAAATGTTTCTGCTATCCTTTGCTTGGGGGTTTGATTCTCAAGTTCACTTTGGCAAGTTTCTGTGTCTTGGCAAATTGTGGAGAACAACACTCCTTTTGAAATTTAGGTGACTGGTATTGCAAAATGTGTTTGTTTGATATTCCAACTACATTGCTCTGTTCCTACCTTGTTCTGGAGTGTCCCTTTGATCTGAGTGGTGCTTACTCATGTATGGTTTCCCCACACTTGGAAACCTGTTTGGCTCCTGAATCTCTCCTCCTAGACAGTAGCCATTAGAAATCAGACCCTGAGGCTGTACTTTTAGATCCACTTCCCTGTGAGCAAGCTTCATTGAACTCAGTGGGAATTTTCCATTTAAACATGGATAACATTGCACTGTTAAGGAAAAAGGGACTGTAGGATAAACATTAAGCCAGTTTGACTTAAAGGGCACAGGTTGGACCTGCAACAATCCGTCCCTGCAACATGCATTATTGTTCCTGGTCCCAGTCAATCACCTTCTTCTCTTCCAGGTCTCTCCATTCCCTTCCTTCTCCCTCTTGGTTTTCCACCCTCCCCAACAGTTCACTTCATGCCCAGTGAACATGCTCAGCCATCACTGGGATGCTGTTGGGTCCTATCTCTTTTGTCCCCACCCCCTTTCTTGTATTTGTGCAAACTTCGGTGTTTCCCCAAGGTGGCTAATATTTCCTTTTTAGCATGTGGTTGGTGCGATTTTGATGACAGAAGTGATGGCACACTTGCTTGAGTGCTGGAAATAAAGGAAGATGCTGCTCAGTGACTTGAACCTCTGAGATGAGTTGTGACCAGGTCAGAAGTCCTTTTTGAAAGTGCCATGTCATTGGCTGCTTGGTCTCAAGATGTGTTCGCATTTCCGGCTGTGCTTTCTTCTTTAGGAGTTAATATCTGCCTTTCTTTCTTACTCTGCAGAATTTTTTAGCTGATGACCATGCTCCCTGTGGTATTCTGCTTTCCCCCTGAATAGCTCCGTGTTTATGCATTTCTGCATGTGGTTATTTCAGATGTTCAGTCCATAAAGTACTGCCAAAGCTGTTTTTATTTTCTTTTTTTAAACGAAGTTCAAATGGCTTTTCTAAATGGAGTCCTTTGTGCTATATTAGAAAGCGATATACATTATTTGTGTGTGGTGAGGTTGAGTCAGTCTATTTGTGTTTTGTGCAAACCAGCCTGGAAAGGAGGGTGGAGGATTGTGGTACTTGGAGGGTGTTTGTCCATCAGTGGTTTTGCTGGTACCACTGGTCTCATACTTCTTCCACGAAGGCAGTTCTTACATGGGAAAGGATCACGTGCCCACTTCCATGTTTATTAGAGGAAATGCATCCACTTAAACACACATGTATTTTTGGTTGGGGTTACCCTCTATCTATGCTGTGGTCCCCTGAAAATCACTCCCAACATCCCAACTCCAATGTCTATAATTAAATAAAGGGGGGGTCACAGTTATCTTACACTGGGTGTCTGGGGAAATAAAACAAATGAAAGTATAAGGTGTATTTGTGTTTGAGTAGAGCTGAAGCATGACTGGAGAAAATAGGGCAAAGTGCAGTGGGGTGTCAAGTAAGGCTATATGCACCACTTCAAAAGAGAGGTGATGTCTCTTGCCTTTGCATTCATTTCCTTCCAAAAATCCTGAAAGGCCTGGTAGAGCTCGTTCATTCTTTTTGTCACTGATAGACATTTCAGGCTCATTTTAATTGCGGACAAAAAGTTTTCTGGGAAAGCCTTCTAGGAGGTGCAATCATAAGGATTGCCAGGATGTGTGAGTCTTTGGCTGCTTTGAGAAGTAATGCTCAAACCTTTTCATTTTGCTTTTGTCTGTAATAAAAAAAGAAGTGAAAAAGCAAGATTGACTTTAATGTATTTTTAGGGGGCTTCTTTCTGCTTTTTTACTCTTCGTTTAACAGTGTTCACAAAACACTGGGTGGTAGACAACTGAGTTTTACTTAGAGTAGACCTGTTGAAATTAATGGACCTAAGTTAACCTTATTAATTTCAATGGATGCACTCTGAGTACAGGTGGCGCTGTGGTCTAAACCACTGAGCCTAGGCTTGCCGACTGGAAGGTTGGCGATTTGAATTCCCGCGATGGGGTGAGCTCCCATTGCTCGGTCCCTGCTCCTGCCAACCTAGCAGTTTGAAAGCACTTCCCTGCAGGAAGGTAAATGTCGTTTCTGTGCGCTGCTCTGGTTTCACCAGAAGTGGCTTAGTCATGCTGGCCACATGACCCGGAAAAACTGCAGACAAACGTTGGCTCCCTCGGCCAGTAGAGCGAGATGAGCGCTGCAACCCCAGAGTTGTTCGTGACTGGACTTAACTGTCAGCGGTCCTTTACCTTTTCCTTTTACTCTGAGTAATGCTATGTTGAATGCTGCCCGATGTATCCAAATTGAAAGTTGTTCTTAGAGCCTGTTGTGGTTTTCCTGCCAACGGAAGGAACTATATTGGCAACTGTCTCCGAACCACATACGAAGTGCAGGATTGCCCGTCATGATAGTGAAGAAATTTGACCAAATTTCTTTTATCCTAACCACCAGCTGAACATGCAAAAACAGAAGAAATGACAAGAGGAATATTTAAATTTTAGGTTTGCTCTGATCTGCTATTGCATGCTGGACTGTGGGAGGAAGTAGCTGGAATCAGTTTTAGGATTTGCTATAGTTGTAGATCAGGGATGGGGGACCTCCAAATATCCCATGGACTCCAACTCCCAGCCAGTGTGGCCAGTGGCCTTATTTCATTTTCAAGTAAAGACTCAGATCTGTATGTTTTCCTCACAGCTATACAGAAATTAAGCTGGTTGTCTTCTTTTGGGGTCCTTGGGAATTTGTTGTTGTTTAGTCGTTTAGTCGTGTCCGACTCTTCGTGACCCCATGGACCAGAGCATGCCAGGCACTTTTGTCTTCCACTGCCTCCCGCAGTTTGGTCAAACTCATACTGGTAGCTTTGAGAACACCGTCCAACCATCTCATCCTCTGTCGTCCCCTTCTCCTTGTGCTCTCCATCTTTCCCAACATCAGGGTCTTTTCCAGGGAGTCTTCTCTTCTCATGAGGTGGCCAAAGTACTGGAGCCTCAGCGTCACGATCTGTCCTTCCAGTGAGCACTCAGGGCTGATTTCCTTAAGAATGGATAGGTTTGATCTTCTTGCAGTCCATGGGACTCTCAAGAGTCTCGTCCAGCACCATACTTCAAAAGCATCAATTCTTCGGCGATCAGCCTTCTTTATGGTCCAGCTCTCACTTCCATACATCACTACTGGGAAAACCATAGCTTTAACTGTATGGACCTTTGCTGGCAAGGTGATGTCTCTGCTTTTTAAGATGCTGTCTAGGTTTGCCATCGCCTTTCTCCCAAGAAGCAGGCGTCTTTTAATTTCGTGACTGCTGTCACCATCTGCAGTGATCATGGAGCCCAAGAAAGTAAAACCTCTTACTGCCTCCATTTCTTCCCCTTCTATTTGCCAGGAGGTGATGGGACCAGTGGCCATGATCTTCGTTTTTTTGATGTTGAGCTTCAGACCATATTTTGCGCTCTCCTCTTTCACCCTCAATAAAAGGTTCCTTGGGAATTGGTGGGGCCTAATTTCTGAGAGAGGACTTTGAACAGAGTGACCTGAATAGAAGCGGCAACTTTGAGTTGTGGTCTAAAACATGGCGCAATAGTTTATGATGCCACTGAGTCATCAAATAGTCTACTCTGTCCTTGGGCAAGGCACTTACCTTTGAGTTTGTTTGTTTCCAGTCCACAAAGTGGATGCACTTACCTATTTGCAGGGCCCTTTTCCAGGATGAACGTGATAAGCAGTTTGAAGTGCTTCTCACAATGAAAGTGCTATGGGCAAAATTCTTGGAAATCTCTTCTTAATTGCACTGAAGTGGGATATGTTGTGCATTACATTATAGCAGGGATGTCCAACTCCCAAGGGACTGCAATCTGTTCCCGGTATAAAAAACTGGCAGTGATCTACCCATTGTCATTGGAGGGAAGGGCCAAAGTTGTGGAGCTTTTTTTAGGGGCCAACATTACATTCGGTGATCACTTTCTTTCATCCCGCGATCTACCAGATAGACATCACTGCATTATAGCTTTCAGTTGTGGCTCTGTCATTCATATAAATGATCTGAGTTTCAGGAATCTCTGCCTACATTTGTCTCACTATGATAATAGCTCCAAAGTAGCCCAGGTGTGGAATGATAAGAGGGACTTTCAGGGCGATGCCTGGCAAATGAAGATCTCCAGCAAACATTATGGGAGTTAATGATTTGTAAGTTTAGATGGTATTATTGGTTTCACAATTGAAAACAAGTTAATATATTGAAAGGTCAAACATGACACAGTCCATAATTTGAATTTCTTCACCATAACACGAGGAACTATTTAGTTTTCACAATTTATTTTGTAACGCATTTGTCATATATCTTTGTAATAACAATTATATATTTCAGTTTTCCTAAGATCTGCTCCTGTTTCACAGTTATTGTGAAATAGCTGGTAATACCAACAAAACAGAAGCAATGTATTCTGGTTCTGTGTTTAAACTGCAGTCCGCAGAGTTGGTTGTGACAGAGCAGGGCACATTAACCTAAATATGCAAGTCAAGTCTTCCATGTAGAAAAGCAAAGCTTTGATTCCACCTTCATACAAGATAAGTGAGACACAGCCATGCAGCCTGCATAACAGTCACAAATGCTGAAAGTCTGGCCTGAGAGCCCACCATCGTCTGTAAAAGAGAGAATAAGTTTTTCCAGTTCACTTAGTCTATTTAGAGTAGACTTCTTGTGAAGGAATGCCCAGTTAGACAAAAAGGTGGGACCTGCCACAAAATACTACATTGTCTTTTTCTCTCACAATAGGAATGTTTATAAGAAGAGAAGAGTCTGCTAAATTAGGTCAGTGGCCCATCTAGGCCACAATCCTGTTCTCTTAGCGGTAAATCAAATGTTTAGGGGAAATGCAAAGGCAGCGCCTGAATGCAACAGCACTGCCTCCTTGCAATTCCCAGCAACTGTTCAGCCAATCTGCTACAACCTCCCCCAACAGACCAGCCATCCCCACACCAAATTCCCAGTTTCTGTTTCCCAACATGAGTACTGTATGCTTAATCCTTATTGGACAGGCTCCCCCTCACACCTAAGTTGGCCGATACCTCTCTTTGGTTTCTCAGCACCCCTGTTTTAGATCAGTTTCCGTTGGCACTCACCACCTGAGTTTGCTCTTAAAGGGAGTGATGTACTGTATTAACTAAGCCCATTCCCCCTGTGTCTCAGATAGGAGAACTGACATGCTGGGATGTCACAGCACGTACAATATTAGGTTCATCCCTATTTGTTAGCTACAGGGTTGATATGAAGTACCCATCCTTATCGACTCGTATGAATATCTTTAAAAAGGATACCTAGTTTTGGATTTCCTCTTTGAAAAGGCTTTGCATTTTAAAATTTAGGAAACAATTTAACCCTGTTGTGCATTTAGGGTGGCGATGTAATTACCGTATTTTTCGCTCTATAAGACGCACCAGACCACAAGACGCACCTAGTTTTTGGAGGAGGAAAACAAGAAAAAAAATATTCTGAATCCCAGAAGCCAGAACAGCAAGAGGGATCACTGCGCAGTGAAAGCAGCAATCCCTCTTGCTGTTCTGGCTTCTGGGATAGCTGTGCAGCCTGCATTCGCTCCATAAGACGCACACACATTTCCCCTTACTTTTTAGGAGGGGAAAAGTGAGTCTTATAGAGCAAAAAATACGGTATATATAGGGCTGAGGCACAAAGTGCTAGGACACCTTAACCCAAGGCTCAGTGCAAGAACATTGCATGCTAGTGCAATGAGCCCTGGTTGAAAGTCCTTTGCTGTGCAAAATTGTGAGAGTTCACAGGAGGCAGCCTAAAAAACTTTCTGACAATGGGGAGCTCATCTGGGCTTAAACCTCACAACCTTTAGAAAACACTTCGATACATTTTTATTCTTTCAAGCCTTCAGTAAGAATATGTAGCTTTTGCTTAAGATGTCAAAAGGTTTTCGCTTGTGTATCTTACTCACGTTGATGTTCTATAATTTCATCATTGTTATGGGTGTTATGGTCCTCTGTACACTGTTTGGGGTTTTGCTCAGTTGAATAGGTATATTCACACACAAATTGGTATTAACTGATGTCAATTTGAGAGTAAACATAAGAGGAACCCTCCTGGATTCAGCCAAAGGCTCGTCTAGTCCAGCATCCTGTTTTCATAGTGGCTAACCAAATGACTATGTAAAGTCTGTTAGGATATGAGCGCAATAACATTCTTCTTACTTGCGATTCCTAACAATTTGTAGTCGAAGGCACACTGCTTCAGTCCTAAGGACTGTATTTTACTAGTGCCTGGCTTCAAATGAAGGTTGGGTGGGCTTAACACTGGTCTTAAGAATGTCTAGCCAAGTGTATCCAAATGCTTGGATATTTGTGCATACTCCGCCAGCTTAAACTGTGGAATTTGGCTTTAGCTAGTGAAGCTAGCATAAGCAGAATTGATAGCTGTAGACTTCTGAGCCTTTATAGGATTTGTTAATCATAAAATGGTAGAATTGGAAGGACAAGGGTCCTCTAGTCCAACCCAATGCATAATGTTGCTCCTGTCAGGATAAGCGGCGGTCCTGCAATGATGACTTCTTATGGCTTTTGGTAAAATATGAGATGAAGTAGATTTAAAACAACCTCCTCCGTAGACCGTAGATAAGTTTACTGGACTAGATAAGTGTGAGAGATGACAAACGCCATCTGATGATGTTTTCTGTGTTTAGCTTGGCATTGCAGTGGGTTTCCTCCTGCCTCCAGTTCTGGTTCCCGATGTGGAAGAGGAGGAGAAGCTGGCCTATCATATTAGCACCATGTTTTTTATGACTGCAGCTGTGGCAACAGCACTCTTCATCTTAGTAGCTTTCGGTAAGTAGATTTAAGTGGGATACAGTTTAAGGCTGATTTATAAATCACGTTTGGACACTCTGTGAACTCCGGAAATCGTGAACTTCTCTTTTTGACACCTGCTTCCTGTAAATATGTACTGTCTGGAAATAGTAAATCCATATGACAAACCTCTAGGTGAGAATGATGACTAAAGTTTGCACCAGATAGGTTTATCTTTTCTGAAATCGGCTTCTCATCAGCTAATCACGAGGGCTTGCAAAGTGCCATACACATGCCATGCAAGCGGCGGTGATCAGTTGATTGCGGAAGCTTCCATGGCTTCATCGCCATCTGATCACTCATAAGGGCCAAAGGAGATCATGTGACATCCGGTGATTGACAGGCTAAGGCCCCACCCATCTGTCAAAATCAGCCCATGGGATGAGGGAAACAAGTTCTCAGCCCCTGCTCTGCAAGGTTCTTTGCCAATGCCCCTCTGTTTCTTCTGCAGAGTCGGGCACAGCATCCAATCCATTCCTAACTTCTGGTTCTGTGCTCTTTCCATAGTGTTCAAGGAAAAGCCTGCACATCCTCCGAGCCGGGCCCAAGCCTTGATCCACACAGCATCACCTGAGGAATATTCCTATCTGCAATCTATTGTTCGTCTGTTTCGCAATGTCAACTTTGTGCTTCTAATAGTCAGTTATGGTAAGGTTCCTTTCCTGCTGATAAGAAGCAGCCAACATGACAGTTTCTCTGTCATTCATTCGTTTTCTTTAATTCTTAGGCTGCCTTTGTGCCATACAGTACTCAAGGCAGCAAGCTTAAGTATAAAACAGCAACTCCTTTTGTAATAAGCCATCCTTTTAAAAAAACAACAACGCAGAAAACATTCCAAATTGAGTTAAAGATAAAATAAAATTAAAATTAATTCTGCTTTTAGAAAGACACATACCAAAGCATCCAATTTCCTTTAAGACAGTCTGCACCTAATATTTGTGTGAGGAAAGAGGACAGTCAGAACCACATCCCATGATCAGTTGTGATTTGTGTTCCCCTTTCTGTTAGCCCCACCTATGTAAAAGGTTGTAACTTTTTATTAAGAAGAAAGCTTCCTTGTACTTAGTCTTGACAGAAGACTCTTGCTGCTGTCAGCACCATCATCAAAATGTTTAGAGGCACTCCTCTGATTTCTTCATGTGTCAGTATTGAAGACACAATGAACATTTCTCTTCCACCCCACTTTATTCCACTGTTTTAAATGCTAAACTCCATAATAAACAGTTAGCTAACTTTGATAAATAACAACAACTCTGAGCATATGCAATTTCATATTTTTAACTCAATCAGTCAGTTGAATATGAAGGTTGAAACTGGAAACTCTATTTGCCAACACTGTACAGAGGGATAGCTTTAAAACAAGTACCGCATTTTTCGCTCTATAAGACGCACCAGACCACAAGATGCACCTAGATTTTGTAGAAGGAAAACAAGAAAAAAAATATTCTGAATCTCAGAAGCCAGAACAGCAAGAGGGATCGCTGCGCAGCGAAAGCAGCAATCCCTCTTGCTGTTCTGGCTTCTGGGATAGCTGCGCAGCCTGCATTCGCTCCATAAGATGCACACACATTTCCCCATACTTTTTAAGAGGGAAAAAGTGAGTCTTAGAGAGCAAAAAATACGGTATTTTTCTTCCTAATTTTGCAAACACACACACCAAAAAACCTTTAACAAGACAGCAACTCAGAGAAAATAAAAAGGAAGGGAAAGTTTTTGAATGTAATATGAAGAAACCTCCTTTGAGGAAGTATCTATAAACAGGGAGGAGTTGTAAAGTTCTGTGGAAATGTGTGGGCAGGGTTCAGCTGAGGAGTCCTGTCAGCAGAAGCCCTAAGCAAAGACTTCCACTTGCACAGTAGGCCTGTCCCGCCCTCCTCCTGCACACACACACCCTGCCCCAAAATTGACTCAGGAGTTGGGTGGGAGTACCCCCGGGGACAGCATGTGGCAGGAGAAGAGGGGGAATTATTCTGTCCGACAAGCTGAAATGCTTGCCCAGACAGAATCAAAGCCTCATAATTCCTCCCAATGTCTTCTGCTCAACAGAAGTCTCAGTTATGGGCCCTAGCACAGCGAGAGTGATTTGATGGTTGTGTTCAGTTCTCTCTCCACAGTAACAGAAAAGATTGATATGTCTCCTGTTCTCTATGGGTTCTCTCCAGCTCTAGACAACAACCACCTTATTTGTTTATTTGAGGGATCAGGGTATGCAGTGTTGTAAAGACAGATCTCTCACTGCTCTGAGAGTTCTGGCTCCAGTTCTGCTATGTAGCCAAAGGAGTGATTGGGTGGTTTGGCTTCCTGGCTGAAAGAGATGGAGCAATTTTTGGGGTGTCTTTTTTTCCTTCCTCCTGTGCACAGTTCAGAAGATGTCTTGAGTGGGAATACAGTTTGCAGAGTGTTCCTGCTTCTCCCTAATCCCTCCAGAACCAGTACTGTACTGCAGAGTTTTTTGCATTCAGGCATCTCTGCTGCTCTGAGCATCACAATTAGTTGCTAGAGACAGTCCTACTATTGTTCCGCATTTGAATTCTTTTGAGGAAATAGAGACGCACGACTTTCAGACAGAAAGTCTTCTCTCTCTTTTTTGTTCCTGTCATTCAGTGGAACGGAATTCAGAAGAAAGAGGCAGGGATCAGTTACGGATTAAAGTAATTCCCCCCAAAAAAAGGATGGAAATGGATCTTCCTGAGAGCATTTCTCACATTTAGGCCATTTAGTTATTATTAGTATTAAATTTGTTGGTTGCTTTATCTTGCCCAGGGCAGCCCAAAGCAATGTGTAGCCAGTTATTATGTACTAGTTACAGGTAGCTAGCCATGTTGGTCTGCCGTAGTCAAAGCAAAATAAAATAAATATAAAAAAATATAAAAATTCCTTCCAGTAGCACCTTAGAGACCAACTATAAGTTAGTTATTGGTATGAGCTTTCGTGTGCATGGTTTCTGAAGAAGTGTGCATGCACACGAAAGCTCATACCAATAACTAAATTGGTCTCTAAGGTGCTACTGGAAAGAATTTTTTTATTTTATTTATTTTATTTTGTTTCATTTATTATGTGTTGTGATTTGTGTATTCAGTTTATATCCTGCCCTTCCTCCCAGAGTATCCCAGGGTTTTTCCAGTCTATAGTTTTGAAAACTATTCATTTTAACCTCTTTCCCAGCCTCCTTTCACAGATAAGCAGGTTGAAAACATCCAAAACAACCAAATATTTCATATATCTTGGACTATATAGAGGCAGCTTGTCACTTATCTCCCTCCCTCCAGATAATCATTCCACAGCTGCACTGCTGTGGCTACATTGGACTTAAATGTTGCTAGGTGTGTGGGGGAATTGTGGGGGTGAATCTTGCTTTGGATTAAACTGTGACAGGGAGCAGGTAGGTGTAGCAGTAACATGCCTGGAACAGGGATAGTCAATTCTCAGTTCGGGGGCTTCATCTGGCCTCCACAAGCAATTTTTTCCACCCTTTCCCAAGACTCTGCCAATGGTTCAAACTCTAATAAGGTTCAAACAAACAAACAAACAAACAAACAGCACTAGGGGAGAAAGGGAGATGACAGAACTTTCTCTAATGAGCAGTTAGCCAGGCATTCATTTTCTCATACAAATTAATAGGACATTCCTTTTGGCTTCCAAATTTATCATGAAGCTTTTCAGTGAAGTCACACATTGGTTTGGGTGTGTGTGTGTGTGTGTGTGTGTGGTTGGTTTTTTTACAGCAATGACAGCTGTAACAAGTAGGGCTCTGCATGCTTCTCTATAAGGTCACACTAAAATCTTGTGATGCTATGGTCTTGTGACAAGAGAAAGGATGCGGTTTTATTTGTACAAATGACATGAAATGAATTCCAGAGTCCTTTGCAAGTTCCTGACTTCTACCAGTTCCCCCACCCTCCACCCCACCAAGACTGCGTTATCGGCCTTAAGCATATCCTTCAGTGCATCCCATTTCTCTGTCAAAACAGTGTAGCACAAAGGGCAAGGTGTGCTGCTGCCTACGTTCAGGGTCAGATGGGCCCCTGGAATGTGTGCTGTCAGCATCTTGCCTGCCTTATCACTTCCTTGGTGGCTGGCTTGCTGATTGTTTGAAGAGTGTGCCGGAGTGATTGCAATCGACCTTCCTCCTGAAGAAGGCAGGAGTATTCAAAGTTCACTGTCATGTCTCTCGACTGGGAGTTCTTGACTTCCTTCTATGTGGTTTATCCCCCTTTTGTAAATAACAGGCTTTCCATTCTGCGTCCTGTATGGCCATGTTAAATATTCTGCAGTGTGTTGTTTTTGCCACAGCACTGCTGGCAGAATTTGGATTCATTGTAAGTGTGGTCAAACTAGCAGTCCATCCTACTGAGATGATGATGATGATGATGATGATGATGATTGATAGTACCGTCCACACTGAGCAGAAGGGCAGTGAACTGTTACTGATCTTTTGGACCTGATCGTACAAAAGCAGGTCCTAACTTTAAAGAAAAGGATCGATAGCGATGAAAGGTTTAGAAATCACTGCTGTGTCTGCGGCAATTAATTCTACTGTGGGCAGAGGCCAATGATGAATCTGTGCACTTTGTGCATTTCGTTATTGTTCTGACAAGTCCCCTTTAGGAATCCAAACTGCTGCCTTGTGCTTTGGGGATGTTGAAACAGCTCATTTGTCTCCTTCCCATTAAACAGGGAAACTGATACGCAGCGAAAGGCTCCGCTAGAGACATTGATGGAGCTGTGAAGAAACACCACGCTATTTTAGAAGTATGAATGGTGACAGCAGCAGCGGCTGGGTTTGTGGGGAGAGCTGGGCTGCAATAAAAGTGTACATCAAAGGCTGTGCCCAGTTATTCAGATGGTCTCCTCTAGAAAATTGTGAAAGAGGAGTTGCAGACTGCATCCCTGTGTACTGCATCCCTCTCACCTGTGCTCTGGGTTTTTCAATATCTCTACCCCCCCCTCCGGCTCCTACCTGGCTAATGAGAAAACAGCTTTGATGTGACTGAATGATGCTTGTTCCAAAGTAATGTCCTCTTCTAGTCATTGTCCTGTCTGTGTGCCTGCATTTCAGTACTGTATTTCTTAAATTCCCCCCTGTCCCAATAAATAAACTCAAGTGTACAATTGCAGGAAGAGGAAAGGGTGTTGTGTGTGTTCAGGAAATACCTGAAGATTAGTATCAAGTTTGTGAAGACAACAAAGCTGGTCTGTGTGTGTTCATCCAGACTTTAACAAGGGTTCAAACCCCGATTTAGCTCTTACCTCACTGGATTTTGTGGTTGAGACCTGGCTGTGCTGCTGTGTGTCTCGTAATCCAGGGCACGCTATGAATTTGCTGTCTTGTTATCTACCTTCCAGGCTTAAACACAGGCTGCTTCTATGCTCTCTCGACCCTACTCACCCGCATGGTGATCAGCCACTATAAGGTAAGTGACATTCTGTTCAGCTGTCATGGCTTCCCCTTCAGGACACTGGCTCTTGCTGCATAATAGATGCCTGCGATCCTCTGTTCTGGGGGAGCCTTAGAATGAGAACACGAGGCTGAAAATCATTTCTGAGCCTCTTAATTCCATGTATGTGAGCGCTCAGTCGTTTTCTGATGCTCAAGGGGAAAAGGAAGAGAGGCATTCGAAAAATCAAGGCAGATTTCATGCATGCGTATTCCAAGCAGAATGTCATTTTAAGCCTTGTGCGTGGGAAAAACACTCCTAATTTTGTGTACGCGTGTGGATCAGGAATATAATACCACCTCCCAACAGTGTCTTCAAAGCCTAGTAGTGCTGATAAAGCCTCCAGATTCTCCCTAGTCCATGTCCACTTTTGCCGCTGGCCTCTTTAATCATTGGCATGCTGCCCTTGGGAAATTATGCATGTGAGTATGTGGTCCTCAGGCTGGAGCAGGTTCTCATTCCATTGCCTGAAGGAAGAGTCTCACCTAGTGAGCCTCACTGCTGGAGTGGAGCCCTGAACAGGGTCTCTCTGGTCCTAGCCTAACCCCTGGGTGCTGCGTACCACATCGGTTTTCAGTGCTCTTGGTTCCACCCCGAGGTCTCCTGTTGTCCCTCCAGCTGTTTGCATGATTGAAAGCAAACTGCTCTGTGCATTTGTGTGTTGCTGATGCAGGATGAGCAGCTGAACGCTGGTCGAATTGGCCTCACCATTATCGTGGCTGGCATGGTTGGAGCTTTGATCACTGGCCTCTGGTTGGACAGAACCAAAACATACAAGTAAGTCCTTTATACCACTCCTATTCAGTGGGTAAGTATAGGGGGAAACTCTGCAGGAGCTGCTTCCTGCTTTGGAAGAGCTTTGGAGCTATTTGGCTGAAATCCTTGGCACATGTGCCTGTGACGTCTACTATTTGCAGTGTGAGGCTGTGCTTGTCCTAGCTAATTGAACTGTGCATTGGAGAGACTAACAGAAAGTATAGCATTTTGTTTATTTTTTAAAAGGTTGGTGGGAGGAGGCGGCGGGGATCACAGTTTGGGGTAAAGGCTTGCCAAGAGGGCCAAGAGCATTTTTATATATTGTAGAAGTAAAGGTAAAGGGGTTGCGGTGCTCATCTCGCTTTATTGGCCGAGGGAGCCGGCGTACAGCTTCCGGGTCATGTGGCCAGCAGGACTAAGCTGCTTCAGGCGAACCAGAGCAGCGCACGGGAACGCCGTTTACCTTCCCACCGGAGCGGTACCTATTTATCTACTTGCACTTTGACATGCTTTTGAACTGCTAGGTTGGCAGGAGCAGGGACTGAGCAATAGGAGCTCAGCCTGTTGCAGGGATTCGAACCGCTGACCTTCTGATCAGCAAGTCCTAGGCTCTGTGGTTTAACTCACAGCACCACCCATGTTCCTCATATTGTAGAAAGGCTGGTTTAAATGTGTAGCATCCCTAAGATATTGCATTGATTTACTTCCTAAGATATGTCTGTAACTTTTTGAATGTGTTTCTAGAGAAAGAGAGGTGGGTAGCTAGAGTAAAGGGGAATTGAGATGCACCACAATATTCCTCTTAGGTCCAGACTAGATGTCCTCTTGGCAGATGTGTGCTGACACAAGGAATGATTGCTGGGCAGGAGGTAGGGATGCTGAACTCCCCCCCCCCCGCCACTGATTCTCCCCTGCAAATGTATTTAGTTATATAAGAATGTGTTTCCTGCTTTTCTGGTGCCTTCACACCAGTCAAGGCAGCTCACAGCAATTAAAGCCAACCACTAATATAATAAAAACTGAAGCGATACAAGTTTTTATCTGATAAAACAAATGCCTTACCTCAGCATGAAGATTTTCTGTGATAAGGCAATGAAAGTGAGTGAGAGTGCCCACATACAAAGTATTGTGAGGAAAACCAAGAGCAAAGACAGATCTCAAAGCACTCTTCAGAATGCAGGAGAGGTTAATACAGTGGTACCTCAGGTTAAGTACCGTACTTAATTCATTCCGGAGGTCCGTTCTTAACCTGAAACTGTTCTTAACCTGAAGCACCACTTTAGCTAATGGGGCCTCCCACTGCTGCTGCGCCGCCGGAGCACGATTTCTGTTCTCATCCTGAAGCAAAGTTCTTAACCTGAGGTACTATTTCTGGGTTAGCGGAGTCTGTAACCTGAAGCGTCTGTAACCCGAGGTACCACTGTAATGGACTGGAATTGAAAAGTTGAGTGGTGAAGAGCTAGGAAGTAGGAATTTTGCAGAAGGCTGCGGGTTGTCAGGGTGTCTTCTGTTTTGCAAAGCTAGAGCTATTGAAAGTTTGGGACCTAGGGAGAAAAACTTTTAATTTTCTGCCACTGTGGTGTGTTCAAACAGTCCTTAAATATCTGGGTTTCATAAATTGCTTAAGTGTTTCTAAAGGTTTTTTTTTAAAAAAACAACAACCCCAATGTGCAGCACAGAGGTTGTCACTGTCCATCTAGCTGCACATACTATAATTCAGTGACCCTGTATAAGGATACTTCCTATATCCTCACAAGTGTTGTGACACTGGTGGTGTGACTCAATCCAGGCCTGCTCCAGGCATGTGGCCTTGCTGATTTATACTTCCCAGAAGGCAGCTGTGCCACTGCATGGAAATCTCCGTCAAAGGGCTTTCTGTCTTAAACAGCAGCCCCTAACGGCTAGTTTTTAGCACTGCTTAACATCATGCTTTCTATAGAGGCTCTATACGTAGTTAAGCTGGGATGACAGAAGGAACAAGTGAAGAAGATAAGTGTGTGGAGGAGGAAGGAGGCATTATTATCTTGGCAAATAATAGACTTTCAGGGGAAGGATAAACCCTTCTCCCCTGCAGATACCTCCCTCGCCCTCACTTTAGCACAGTGAGGTGAACATTTGGTTTATGTTTCCCTCAGTATCAATCAATCAATTTATTGTATGTAGCCAAAGGCCTTCACAATGAACAACAAAGGGATTCCTCTAAAATCGCACAACATAACCAGTAACATCTACAGCATAAAAGTCTGCTCCATGAAAATCAACAGCATAAAGTATGATGCATTAACATAACTGGACTGAAGCTTCTTAGCTGCCAAAGTAAATATGGCTCCCAGATGTGTAATTTGTAGATATTTATTGATTAAGGGTTCAAATATCACTTCCTGGGGGGATCGGCCTGCTTCCCACATAACATGTAGGACTACCCTGAAACAGAGGTGAGTAAAATGAATTCTTTTGGGTGAATTTAGCTGCTAGGGAGTGATGTGTTTCTGCTCATCTGATTTAACAAGGATCCTGCAAAAGCCTCTTGCCGTTTTTACCACTTATGGATAAGAATTAATCCATGCACACACAAGCAAAAATGCTATAAATCCCCTAAAGTACAGGAAGAGGTTTTTAAAATTATTATTATCATTTGAGAAGGAAGCTTTTGAGAAGTTGCACGACCAATTAGATCATGCTGATAAGGGCTTCTGTGACACTCTCTTTGGGCTGAAACCAAACAGCAGGGTGTTATTTTTTCCTTTTCTCTTAGCTTGACAGGGGCGATGTAAGGCAACTGTTGCTGATCTGCCCTTTATATAACTGGGAAAGGTAACCATCCCTCCTGCCAAGCCATTCTCTGGAATGCAGGGTACTTACAGAGAGTGCTTTTTCAGAGTGAAGCAAGATGGATAAAATTTTACTGTATCCTGGTTATCCCTGATATAACAGCTTGGCAGTTTCTTGTCGTTCTGTGCATGTTTGCTCTGAAAATAGCAGGCTGCCCTCCCATTAAGCCTTAAGGATAGATCTCTGACCCAACGCAGAACTGTAATCACTGAACTTATATATACCTCCTACCACTGTGAACAGTAACTCTGTACTTTAGCAGCCCTGCTGAGTTATTGCACTTCCACAGTTGACTAGAAGTAGAATGCAAATCGTGACTGCTCTTAATCTCACTCCCTTTAATAGCAAACTCAACTGCAGAGTGCTAACTAGGTTTGGATGACTCAGTCTCAGCCTCTCTTGTCCTCTTCCCATATTAAAGTAAATCCCTCCCTGTTCCCTAGCAGATTTTTTAAAGGCGAAATCCAGGGAGATCCTAAAAATCTGTGTGTAGAATGTCTCTCACCATCCCTGCTCCACCCAAGGAATACTTAGCAAGCGTACTGAAGCCCTGGTCTCACTCCTGTTCTTACTTTAATACTGTAAAGTAGCTTGGATCAGCTTCAAAGCTCTGCCATTCCAGATAAATATGCTTCAAAAATGATGCAGGAAGTGATTGTATGTTGTTTCCTGTGTAGTAGCATGTACAAAAGGCCATGGTACAGACAATAAGATGGCTGTACAATTGCACGGTGTCCATCATCATGAACAATATATTTACCCAGAAGGAAGTCCCATTCAGTTCAGTGGACTTACTTCTAAGGAAGTTTAATTAGGGTTAGAGCTTTCAGTTAGTAAAGGTCCCCCGGGTCTTGCTAGTTCAAAAAATGACCAATTAAATGGCCAGTAGTTGGGAGAAGCAGGGAGACCTTTCTTGGTTGATTGAAGGCTTCAATCCCGACAGGTTACGTGGGCGAGTGTCCCAAAGCAAGAGGCCATTACTAACCCCCCTTCTCTCTTGCAAATGTATAGCCAGCAGCCCGGGGCTGTGTTGCCCACCTCTGTCCAGCTGAGATGTTGTCACTTACAATGAGGGAGAGGGTGAGGAGCATGAATCAGACTTCACAAATGCACCACCAGGAATACTAGATTGGCTCCACCAGTGCACTTGCACCATGCCAACCTTGCTGCCACTGTGCTCCTCCCCATCCCAGGATAATGCAGCAACACATCAGCCAGAGGTCAGGGGAGAGGTACAGCCCCGCCATGCTGTTCGCTGCTGAGAACAGAAAGCTTGTTACCTTTTAAAGGTAAAGGTAAAGGGACCCCTGACCATTAGGTCCAGTCATGGCCAACTCTGGGGTTGCAGTGCTCATCTTGCTTTATTGGCCAAGGGAGCCGGCGTACAGCTTCTGGGTCATGTGGCCAGCATGACTAAGCCGCTTCTGGCGAACCAGAGCAGCGCACGGAAACACCATTTACCTTCCCGCCAGAGCGGTACCTATTTATCTACTTGCACTTTGACGTGCTTTCGAACTGCTAGGTTGGCAGGAGCAGGGCCCGAACAATGGGAGCTCACCCCGTCATGGGGATTTGAACCGCCGACCTCCTGATCTGCAAGTCCTAGGCTCAGTGGTTTAACTCACAGCACCATCCCCGTCCTTTTTATTCAACCGCAATATCTCACAATACCACATGTGAGCGTTTGTCTGGACTCTGCCAAGCTATAGGTCGGAAGTTGGTGACCTTAGGGACCTCAGCCAGTTCATGTTGAGAGCAGCTACAGAAGCCTCTTCCAAGCAGTAGAGGATGCTCCTTGACCTTTAGAAAATCTTCCAGGTCAGGCTTTCTCACTGGTCCCTGAGCAATGGGAAGTCTTGCTCTTTTACACAAGAGGTAGAGCAGGACTTGACAACTTTTGAATTACAGATGTAAGAAATGGAGGGGTAGGACATATTGGCGGGGCCCTACTTCTGGCAGAGGAGAAGGACAAGGAGGGCAAGAGGAGTGATGGCTGTGGCAGCAGTGCTCCTCCTATGAGAACTAGGCAGCCACCATTTTGTTGTCCCTACAGTGACATAGCACTGCAGTGGGGGTTTTCAGGGAATTCAGGGAAGCTGGTGCAGGCTCATGTATGAGGCTCTTTTCCCTGTCTCTCTGACTGAGGTAGATAGCTTAACAATGCAGTAAGATGCAGTTCAAAGTTCAGGGGACTGTTGCAGGACCCACATTCTACCTCTGCTCTTGCATAAAAATAGCTGCCATCTCCTTCAGAGCGGCTGTAGATTAATTTCCTAGGCAAATGCAGTAGGGAGTGATTTCCATGTGCTTTTTATATCCTCAAGTTGTCCTTTGATTTTCCTGCTTTCCTGACTGCGCTCTCTACTTTAATCCCTGCATACTAGTGAAAGCTTCTTAAGAAATAAGCCGAGTGTCAGCTTCACTAACTGGCCTTGTTAATTTCTCCAGTTTCCTATACCTATTGGTTCTTACCAGCATCTGTGTAGGGTACCCTGTGTTTAATTTAATTACAGAAATTAAAAAGTGACATTCTAGATATACCACTATGAGGCCCACAGTCTCTTTCTAGGGTCAGCTCAATACATTTTTCTGCCTGAGGTGAAGGAGAGGATGGCGTATCTCCTCCATTCCATGTACAGACACAAAATGCTCCAGTGCTTGAATTTTACTTCAGCCCTAGTGATGAGACACCCTCCTCCGCTGAAACTGAGCGCAGCGAGGTAGCCTAGGAGGTGTGAGGCAGGTTGTGCACACCACATAGATCTGTGTTCCAACAACTTGGTGCTATTACCTGACACCTGAGGTGGCCACTCCACTCTGCCTAATTAGGTGGGACTGGCCTGCCACTTTCTATAGCTAAGAACTTAAGAACAGCCTGCTGGATCAGGCTATTTGCCCATCGAGTCCCATAGTTTAACTACATGCTGCGTGAATTAAGTACAGTTGTACCTTGGTTGTTTAACGGAATCAGAACGACTTCCAAAGCGTTCGACTTCCAAATCACGGCTTCTGATTGGCTGCAAGAAGCTCCTGCAGCCAATCGGAAACTGTGGAAGCCCCATTGGACGTTCGGCTTCCAAAAGAATGTTCAAAAACCAGAACAGTCACTTCTGGGTTTTGATCGTTCGGGAGCCAAAATGTTGAAGCTCCAGGGTGTTCGACAACCAAGGGACGACTGTACTTTATTTTAGCCATCCTGAATCTTTCAACACTAAGCTTCCTTGGATGTCCACGAGTTCTAGGTCTGATTGCATGACCTCCTTTGGCCTGTTGCTATCAGGAGACATTTGATGGCCTGGCTGTAGGTTGAAGAGCCCCTGCAACTTTCTTGCATGCAAAGATTAATATTGTCAGGCTGTCGGATTAATTTGATTTTTTATTGGGGTCCCCCCCCCACAATAGAACTTAATTTTAGTTAAAATGTAATGAAATCCGAATTTAAAAACATTGAATACAGTGTAAGAGCAGTAGCTTAATTCTGATTGTGGTTTTGTTTGTTACAGGCAGACAACTCTGTTGGTTTACATCATGTCATTTGTGGGCATGGTGGTTTTCACGTTTACTCTGGACCTAGGCCATATCTGGGTGGTCTTTGTGACAGCAGGTGTGCTGGGGTAAGTTTGCTTCTCCTCTCACACCCAGGGTGAATTTTCTCTTCTTCGAAGGAGTTTTCCTCTGAAGGCATTTGGCGGCTGCCTCTGACATGGAGATGAAGACGCCTCTTCTTTCTCTCTCCAGTGGAGTGAAGAGTAAGAAAGTGCCACAAACAATGGATACCCAGGCAAAGTGAGAACTCTGGGATATGCATAGCAGCCATCATATCCTTTCATGTCTCTGCTGACCATGAACAGCTTGCATTGCAGAGCATGGTCAAATGAAATGCTATGGGCAACAGCTGCTGGTGGGGTGGGGTGCTGTTGTTGACTTGGCTTCCCAATGTGGAGGTTGCTGACAGTAAACCAAGAGGGAGAGTGGCAAGGCGTCTGGGAGGTTGGTGCAGTGCAGGTGCTGCCGCACGGCCAATCAGACACTTCTGCTGCTGTGTCTGCACTGCACTGACTTCCCTGCAGCCTCACTCCCTCCCCTCTTGGTTACCAGCAGTAACTAACAGGAAGCAAGGTAAGCTATGCCATCCTGCTCTGCACCACCAGCTGCTCCTGGCCATGGGGAAGCAAATAGGGTTATGCCTTGGAGACTGAAGTGGGGCTTGGAGAAGCACCCTCACTTTGAAACTGCATGGCCCAAACGTTGCAGCTGCTGATGCTTTCCTTCCTGCCAATCTTTCCTGGCAGTTTCTTCATGACTGGGTACCTACCACTGGGCTTTGAATTTGCGGCAGAACTGACATACCCAGAATCGGAAGGGACGTCATCGGGCCTCCTTAATGTAGCTGCACAGGTGAGTGCATGCACCGAAAATATAGCAGGTAAACAGACTCACTTCTTAGCTTGGCTTTGCTGTTGCACAGGAATTCTGTTGATGAATCCAGCTCTTCAAGGTGGTATCATAGAACTGTAGAGTTGGAAGAGACCCTGAACACTTTCCAATACAGGAATCTCAATACATGGTCTCCCATCCAGTTTGAAACCATACTGGACCCTGCTTAGCTTTGCCAGTGTGCTAGGCGTAGCGGTGTGGCCAGACTACGCTGCAGTAGCTTTCTTCAGTTTCTTCTTTGTAACTCTTTTTTGATCTTGTTTCAGATATTTGGAATAATTTTCACCATTAGCCAAGCACAGATCTTTGAACATTTTGGAACTCAAGCAGGAAACCTCTTCCTCTGCAGCTTCCTGTTTGTCGGCACTGTTATAACTGGTAACTACACTATCCAATGATTGTCAAACCTTTTTCAGGTTCTGCTTCTTACAACTCTTGTATTGCTACCCCAGCTTAAAGTACTGAGGTTTAGGGTAGGGCTGTAATGTTGAATCACTTTGTTATTTTTAACCTAGGGATGGCAAACCTGTCAAATTTGGTTCTTCCAGTTATTTTCTCTTTCAATCTTAAACTCAGTTCTCCACATTTCTGCAGCATTTCATTATTATTATTATTTTTTAATCCTCATAATTCATAAGCGTCTTAAAAAATAGAGGATGGTTTCTTAGCCAAAAGGCTGAGATGCCTTTGAGTGAGAATTTCTCCTAAGAAACACATTTTTTTGTATGCAGTTTTGACTCATGTACACAATTTTGCAAGTAAAATAGCTGTGTTTCAGTTTGCATGTACGTTCAGGAAGTGAGCATTAGGTACCTTTCTCATTAAAATGAAAAGAAAATCCTCTTTCTCCAATAGCCCTATTTATGCCAACCCAGTTGTTTTGTGTCCTTCCATGCTGCTGTTTTAATAACTGAATTAATATCCTGTTGTATTTTATTGTGTTATTGTGCTTTTAATCTGGAAGCTGCCTTGGGGACTTGTTTGGGTGGCTAAGAAGTGGAGTAGATTTAAGAAGTGGACTAGATGTTCTAAGATTTAAAAATAATTTATTTTCCACCATGGAGAGGACAGACCCTGTTCTCTACTTCAGTTGTGCTTTCTGAGTGGTAAGCCATGTTCTTCATGTTGCCCTGCCTTGAGCTCCATTGCTCTGTGAAGAGCTGCTTATGGTCAACACACAGTGACTTCCTGACTCTGTTTTCTCTTCCTCCAATGCCCCAGCTTTCATCAAAGCAGATCTCCGGAGACAGCAGGCCAACCTGCGCGATGAACAGACTGTGAGTAAATCATATATTTATGCTGGTAGCTTATGGCCAACCGTCCCCACCTGTGAGTCTCCTTTGCTATTATCGTGATGAATAACTGTGCCAGCTTGAAGGGAGTATTGTTGCTGCCTCAGCTGTGCCAGGTTTGGATTGTTAACAGTTGAATGCTGTTGGATTCTCCTCCAGGAGAAAGTGTGGCATGTGCCTGGGACCAGCTGCGAGTACTGAGAGAGACATGCTGGCAATCTCTCTGTTTGAGGGCCTACATCTGGTGCACTAGCCAGACCAGTGTTAGGCTCTTTGTAACCTTAAGTAAATGCAAATACAGCTGCTTAAAGAAAGGTGAAAGATCATGGGTAATATCCAGGGGTGATGTCCTACTCGCACAATAGACTTCACTTGTGCACACTGAAACTACTCTCCTACCTGCCCACTATGTGCCCCCAAAATGTGCCCCGGAGTGTTCCCCAAACCCAGTGAGTGTTGGCAGACCCTCCAGAGCAGATTGGGAGGGATGATGGAGGCTCCAGCAGGGAGCTGCTCTGGCTGATCTTAGATTCATTTAGGACTAGGGAACCAGATGTTGCTGGACTGCAACTCCCAGCATCCCTGATAATTGTTTCTGAGAACATAATAAGAGCCCTGCAGGGACTAGATGGGCTTATGCAATCCATGGGACAGTCTGCAACAAGATAGAGGGTGGGTGTGATGGTGCTCACAGTGTAAAGGTGTCACTGGGCACACTGTCCGATGGGTGGGCGATCTTGCCTTTCAGCTGAGGAATGGGCTACTGATCCCTTCGATCTCTAAGATACTGTGCCTGTAAGTTGACCCTTGTGCACAGGAACCAGATGGGCATTTCTGCTTTCCATAAGCTTTTCCTCCAAAGTTCTCCTTGCTACTTTTGTTGTCTGTATTCTGACTATTTGATTTTTGTATCTGGCATATATCTTTGGCAAAGTTTTGTAGCAGACGCACAGTAGTATAGGTGACTCTCAACTTACCCTGGGGTTACATTCTGGGCATAGTGAGTAAAGCCAAGAACACACATAGTCAAAACACATCAGGATCAGAGGCAGGTGGGATTGCCAAAGTTTTTCCCTCCTTTCTGCCCTCTTTTTATTTATTTTTTTGCCAGGTGTGTAAAACACAAGTTAAATGCACGGAAGTTGCAAGTTACCTGTACCCAATACTTCAAAACAAACATATTTAGTAAAACCTGGGTCAACAATATATTTTAACTCTTCATCAGAAGACAGTTCTTGAAAAGGCAAACAAAACTAACAAATTTCAAATACCAGTAACTCCCTAATGCTTAAGCTTCCCATACTCGATACAGTTATGTGATTCTTCTGTGTAAAGCCAAATACTGAAAGACTTAGTTTATGTAGCTGACAGGGTACCTGTGCTCTATCTGACAGGGTACCTGTGCTCTAAGACAGTTGCATGGCAGGCAAGAATTCAGCAACTGAACCTTTTCCTGGGATACAGGATAGGAAAGACTTGCCTGTTATGAAGTTGTTAAAAGGGACAGACTCTCTACCAGGAAAAAAAAAGGCAATTCTAACTCTGAATCGGGTCGTGCTGAATTGGGTAAATGAAGGGTTCTCTTCTGCAATATATAATGAAAATTCTGGTCTTGGATTCTGATTTATGGACTTACAAATAGGACTAAGCCAAAAGAGAGGAGTTTCCTTTAATTCACATTGTTATCCTGATTTTTGTTTTTCTTTGGGGGCGGGGAGGGTCTCTCAAAAACGTGTCATCACTGTCTTACCAGGAGAAGGAGCGACTGCAACAGTAGCGGGGGGAAATTTACCGTATTTTTCTCCCTAAAGGACGCACTTTTTCCCCTCCAAAAATGAAGGGGAAATGTGTGTGCGTCCTATGGGGCGAATGCAGGCTTCAGGAAGCTATCCACAAGCCTTGGGAGCCCGGCGCGACTTCCCGCGGGCTCCCAGGGCTTGCAGATGGCAGCCTGCGGGCTTTTCAGGGAGGTGGGGGAATTCCCCCACCTCCCAAAAAAGCCAGGAGAAGCCCCACGCTCTTTAAAGGGGTTGCACGGCTTCTGCAGGGTTTTGCGAGAGGTGAGGGAATCCCCCCACCTCCCAGAAAAGCCAGGAGAAGCCGTGCAGCCCTTTTAAAGAGCGCACGGCTTCTGCCGGTTTTGCGGGAGGTGGGGGAATTCTGGCTTGGGAACAGCCTTGCTAGCCGCTGCAGGAGAGCGGGGTGAACGCACCCCGCTGCCCTGGAGAGGCTTTGCGCGCAGCCATCCCCAGCTAGAAGAGGCAATAGAAGCCGCGCAGCCCCTTTAAAGAGTGCACGGCTTCTGCGGGAGGTGGGGGAATACTCCCAGAGTTTGTCAGGGCTGGTGGGGGAAGGCTTGCAGATAGCAGCCTGTTCTGGGGGCTGGGGTCAGGGGAAGCTCGGGCTTCCCCCGCCCCAACCCTGCGCCTGGGGGGGGGAAAATAAATTTCTTTTTCTTTATTTCCCCCCCGAAAAGTAGGTGCGTCCTATGGGCCGGTGCGTCCTATAGGGCGAAAAATACGGTACTTTCCAAATATTGCTGAATACAGCTCCCATCAGGCCCAGCAAACATGTCCAATGACCAGTGATGATGGGAATGATAGTTCAGTGACATCTGGAGGGCCAAAGGTTCCCCACCCCTGTGCTATAGCATGTTTGCTTGGCAGCAGCCCAGGCAACAATGGTATCAATGCTTCTCTCTCTGTGGCACCCGCTCAGGCTATTGATGTGTTCCTTTGCCCAGGGTAATGTGGAAAGGTAATGTGATGTGGAAAGCATTGTTTTCACTTTGAATTCATTTATTCTTTCAAATTTAAAACTCACCCTTCCTCTCCAAAGGGAGCCCGGGGTGGCTCACAATAATAAAATGACCTACAAACAATGTAAAACACCAACACATATTTCAGAATTGGCTTTGTTTACTTTCCAGTGATGTTCTGATAGTACCAAATGCTAATGTGAACATCTGGAGCCTCCTTAGTTAAAGTGAAACAACTTGGCAGAAGAGAAGTAAGCTAAAATAAATGAATTTATTTAACACCGAGACTACATAATTCTTCAGGGATTAGGTTAATCAGATCTCCTGCTGCCTTGGAATGAGTACAGGGCTTATAAAGCTGAACATTCTGTGGAATTTTTAGTGATCAAAAGTCTCACTCGCTTTCAGTTCTGCAGAGTTTCACCAGCTTATTCCATCATGATTCCCTGTCTGTCTGTCTGTCTGTCTGTGCCTCCTGTTTTTGTTTTAATTCTGCCCCTCTTTGGGATTGTGACATATGGCTGTTGTTACAGAGACTCCAGGGCAGTAACTGTCAGATAATGAATTATGGACATTGTACCTTAATCCCATCATTTCCCATCCCTGATCAGTAATTCTCAGACTAAGGTAGGAGAATCATACTAACCTGCTTATACAACTCTTTCTGTGAGATGGCACTGGCACCAAACCAATGGCATGTTGCAGGGCCAAAATGTGTAGAGAAAGGGCTTGGTGTGGGGAAAAGCACACTCACTGGATCCAGCATGCTGGATTCGGCTTATGATGCAAATTTGATCACCCACCAACCAATTGTCAAAGGGAATGTTGGGTCCTCCAGTTAGAACAGCCACTGGATTGGTGCCTTTTTGTGTAAAATAACTATTGCAATTCTCAAAGCACTTTGCTTTGCAATGTTAATTCTACGCTTTTTCCTGAAGAGACCTTCATGTCGCCGCTAAGTACATGCTTGAATATGCTTCATCTGACTATCTATCTTTCCTTAAACCTTACCTTCCCCTTGTTGAAAATGTGTGCTCACATATTTATTGCTCACCATTCTCAAGTTTGTTGGTGAAGAGGCAAACACTGGATGCAGTAATGAATTTCTTAATGCTGGGCTGAATTCTGAAGCAGTCAAAACAAGAACGGGTAAAAACATGGTGGGGAGGGGGCTGTCTGCAAGAAAGTGCTAGATTATTTAAAAAATCTATCCATGGCATTTGTGGGGGTTATATATATGTGCAAGCTCACTGTAGAGTAGCGAGCAATTGATATGTGAACATTGATGCATCTTTCAAGCTGCCATTCATGTGCAAAGGACATCCTGAGATGAAAACATGCTGCACTATCACGACTTTTAGCGTTGCTGCTTGCAAAATGTAACATGTTTACATACCGGCTGTCTTAAGCCATTATTGTGCCTGATCCATTACTTGCAGGATGGAATGATGTTTTGATTGTTTCAAAGACTCTGAAATCCTTCAGGTATATTGCTGACTCAATACACAGGCACCATACCTAACATTAGTAATGGTAAATCAGGACCAAACAAGATGCAAGATCGGAAATGTATGAATGCATTTCTGCTTATCGTTCCCCAACTCCCATTTGGTATCCAGCACTTGGGGCTTTCCCCAGGCCACATCACCTCATTGGCTACACCCCTCACTGGACCTATTCTGCACCATCTCCAGTTCTTCTGCTTGGCTGGCATACCTTCAGCTGTAACAAGGCCTCTTGCTTACCTGGAGGGAGGAGATGTATGTGCAGAAACCTCTCAACATTTGTGTGGCTGGAGTGTGGCCTACTATAGGAAGATAAGAGCTGCCTTGCCAACCTCTGGCATGTGCCCCCTGGAAGGTTGTCGAAGAGAGCAGAGCTGGCCCAGCAATGAGGCAGGGTGAAGCGTCTCAGGTGGTGGTGGAAGCGCAAAAGGATAGCTTTCTGTTTCACAGGCCATCTTCCACCATGTCCCAGGTTACTATCAACAATAAGTACAACCCTCCTGTTGGCCTTCTTCCTTGGGGTGCCTGGCTTCTGTGCTGTTAGCTTTGGCACGCTTAAGTCCCGGACTCCTGGGGCCTTCCTGTGGAGAAACGTGGCAAAGTATACCTAGAATGCCTCTATGCCGCCCTCTTATGAGGCTACTCAATGGTACTCATGAAGGGCCTGAAGATGGCGTAGGAGTAAGAGCTAAGGCCTTCTTTGTATGGCAGGCCCTCACTTAAAGGCCTAGTTATCCCAGGATGTTCTCTGGAGTTCTCTCTGAGGCTTTTAATATCCTCCAGGTTTCCCCAACCTTCATTCAGGCTAAGGCCCTGCAGCTGGACTCCTTCCCTCCCATCAGGCAGATGAATGACAGGGCCCTCCCTGCTTCTTCTAGCACAGATGGACCCTTTAGGCAATGTTTCCTCCGTACCAAATGGCTTTAAATCCATACCAGGTAATCATTTGGACAATTGCACTATCAGCCAAGCTTTACCAGTGTGTTAGCATTTTGAGGCTTGGGCCTGACCATAAACACCTAGAAGCAGGTTCCTATCTGGTGGCTATTTATCTACTGCCATTTTGTGCAGTATATTCTGGCACAGCTGACCAGTTCCACCAGCATGTGATAAAGGAATGCAAAGATCTGTAGGCCCTGACTTGTGAGGCAGATGGGGATTTTTGTTTTACTTCTGCTCAGCTAAGCATGGTCTGTTCTAATCTTTGCAACAGACTATGCACAATTGTTTAGTATCTTTTTTGGGGGGTGGGGAGAAGAGGGCAGGTTGGGGAAGTATAGATATAGATATAGATCACCGGATTAGGGTTGCCATATTCTGACGATCAACACCCCCCCCCCATTTGGGCACCCTGCCACCCCACATCTCCCTCGCCTCCCTGCTGCTAACCCCTTTACTATTTATACCCTACACATCTTACTGGGCTTCCCCAGCCCCTCTGGGCAGCTTCCAACATATATAAAAACGTAATAAAGCATTAAACATTAAAAAAAACCCACTTCCCTATATAGGATTGCCTTCAGATGGCTCAGGGGTTGGATAACTCTATACCCTCTAATATTTATCCAATGAAAATAGAGACATCCTAAGGAAAAATGGGACATTTTGGGATCAAATCAGAAACCAGGATGGCTTCTCTAAATCAGGGACATCCCTGGAAAATAGGGACACTTGGCGGGTCTGTGAACCTTATTGTACCTCACTTCTAACAACGTTCACTGGCTTGCTATTGGAAACTTGTATGACTGAGCCATAATTATTGTTGGGTGAAAATAGAGAGGCAGCCTTGCATACATAACCATTCCCTCCACGAAAGGATCAGTAACCTTCAGCGAATGGCTGGTCTAGTTGTCATTTATTTGCCTCTCCATGCAACTGCAAATATTCACCTGTCCCAGAAGAATGTAAAGGCTTGTGGCGTTTTGAAAGACTTCACTCTTTGTGGATAGGTTTATCCCACACAGAGACACTGCTGTATCCTATGTTGCATCAATTTCCTGAAGATTAACTATGGAAGGCAAGTTGATCACAGGTAGCAAGCACGTTTGACTTTGCTCTCTGCCAAGTCCTGATGAATGATCTACCTCCATCATTCTCTGTTCTGTGGGACCTGGGTCAACAGTACTCTTAGAGCACAACAGACTCATTCCTTCTCCCCGGGAAATCTTGGAATTTTACTGTTTGGAGAAGGCAGTGGGGAGAATCTAACAGGGGTAGCCAATGTGGTGCCTTCCAAATGCTTCTTGGATTCCAACTCCTATCACTGCTAGCCAGTGACAGTGGTGGCTGGCGCAACATCTGGAGGACATCCCATTGCCTAACCATGCTCCTCTAACAAAGAATTACCACAATTCCAAGGATTCTTTGGGTCATGACAGTTAAATAGTTTCCATATATTTCTACCCACTTTGTATGTGCATATGCCCTTACTGTTATGAATGGATAACTTCATTAGGCACCAGCAAGCTTCTTTGTGGAGAGGTGCCAGACCCCTTTTAATGTGTGGAATTGATGAGGCAGATGGCGTGCGTGGTCAGGAGACAGAAACAAGGCAAGAGTTTGTAGCTTGTAATTGGCTAAATTTCCTGCACCACTTCCTTCTCTGCAGATCCATCCAGGATTTTTAAATACTTGTTACATGAATAAGAAGTATTAGCTCTTGCAGCGTGGATACAGATACGACTCGAAGGGCATTCCTGGTGCAAATGTATCATTGCAGCCTTCAGAAACCTGATGCCCTCCAGTTGTTCTGGACTACAATTCCCATCAGCCCCTGCCTTCTCAGATGGGGTACATTGTACCTGGAATTGTGCTGTTTTGATTAAGGCAATGAGTAGACTTAGAAATAGCATCACAAATGGTAGTGCTGAAGGGCAATTCTGGGCATTGATACTCCCATCACTCTGGAAAGCAGAGCTCTCCCAAGCACTATTCTCCCCTATGAAATTCACTTTTCATAGCTAAGGGTGAATTCTTTCTTCCTAACTTTGCTTTGTAACCTTTTTTTGAGCAGCAATAAGGATTAGGCTTATTGTAAGGATAAGGATGGGACGCGGGTGGCGCTGTGGGTAAAACCTCAGTGCCTAGGACCTGCTGATCGTAAGGTCGGCGGTTCGAATCCCCGCGGCGGGGTGAGCTCCCGTCGTTCGGTCCCAGCTCCTGCCCACCTAGCAGTTCGAAAGCACCCCTAAGTGCAAGTAGATAAATAGGTACCGCTTTCTAGTGGGAAGGTAAACGGCGTTTCCGTGTGCTGCGCTGGTGCTGGCTCGCCAGCTGCAGCTTCGTCACGCTGGCCACGTGACCCGGAAGTGTCTTTGGACAGCGCCGGCTCCCGGCCTCTTAAGCGAGATGAGCGCGCAACCCTAGAGTCGGACACGACTGGCCCGTACGGGCAGGGGTACCTATACCTTTACCTTTAAGGATTGGGCGCCGTTGGTAAGAGAAAATGGAATGTACTTGTCCTTCTTTGGGATCTCTCCTTTCCTCTCGAGATATTTGGACCCAAAACAAGAGCAGCAATGCTTCTCAGGAGCATATATTCATAGAATCATGGAATTGTAGAGTTGGAAGGGTCCCTGAGGATCATCTAGCAATGCAGGAATATGTAGCTGTCCCAAACAGGGATCGAACCTGCAACCTTGGTCCTGGTAGTGGGTTCCTGCTGTCTGATGCCTTTGACCACCCCCTAACTGTGCCCCCCCCCTCTCTCTGACTTTCAGAAGACATTGGGAAAAGTGCCTCAAACCAGCACTGTGCCGCTGTATGAGGAATCAAAATTCTAATGGTGGGAGATTGAGGACCAGCTGGCGCCACCACTAACCTCCATTCTCGTCTTTGACATCTGTACCTCCCACTACACTTGGTGTAGCCCAGCATCTGAGGACAATCTAGGAAGCTGCTGCTGGAAAGGAAAGCACAGGACTTGAGTCACCCTCACCTGAGCCAGCTCCTCTGTCCTGGTGGCGTGTCCTGGTGCCCTTTCTGCCAAGGGACCAAAGGCAGCAGTTGCTCAGCGGAAGATAGCTTGTCTTGGCCATTGCAGCCAAATCACTGAATCCAGCGTTTCTTCCATTGCATGGATTGAGAGCGACCATTTGTTAATCCTGTTATATGTCCAGCAGACCTACTGAATGGGATATGAAATGGATCCAGAGGAAGATCCTTGCTCCTCAGGGAGAACAAGAAAGCACTTGCTCTGTGAGCAGCCCAAACTGAAGCGCAACTCATGATTTGCCACTGGGGAAAGACCTCACCGGGAAGCTTTCTCCCCTTCAAAACTTCCTGTTGGTAGACTATATTTTAGTAAATCAAGCCCCGAGAAGATTCTTTTTAAGTAACGGACGGTAGTTTTGAAATGAGAATGCTCTCTTATTACCCAAATTATGGCAATACTCCAGAAATGTTATGGGGAAAATAGTTTTTAAAGAATATTTGAAAAGGACAGCCTGTCATAGGTTGCTTCCACACTACAGCTTTTTAGTATTATTTGAGATACTGCTTTTCCACAAACTGACTGGAAGCAGCAATAAAACAGAGGTTCCAAATAGACCTCTGTAATATTTATTCACAAGTAAGTCCTATTCAGTAAAAAGCCCCTACAATGTTAATTAAAAGTTGACTCTTCCTGGAGGAGGGGTGCATAAATTTAATTACTGGTTTCCTTGTATCATTTTATTCTTCTATAATGAAATAACACTGTTTTCAAAGAAAGAGAAAAAAACGATGTAAGGAAAGCAGTAACTAAAGCCCCTGAACGTAAGCTAACCAAAAAGTATAACGTATCACTAATTGTCCCAGCAGTGCTGGACAAGAAGCAATTAAACTTTGAGGAAACTTGAATCAAAGGCGTAGGAAGTCTTAAAAGCTTTGATAATGTTTTGCCAGCACACACAGGACAAGCAGTAACTGCAATTGCATTTTATTGCAAGAGGCAGGAAAAATGTCATAAAACAGGTCTGGAAAAAACACAGGACGACAACACAGGAAACACTGGAAATGCAACAATTTGGCAACGAATTGCCAAATTTGTTAAGGATGGCTGTTTCAGAGAAAGGGGCCAGTGTTGGAAGCAATCACAGTATGCAGTGGCTAGCTTTGTGGTTTATGGAAATTATTTAACCAGATATATTTCATGGAAATTCACCTTTGATCAGGGGAGGAAAAGTGCAGTTTAATTTATGGACAGAAGATGAACCTTGTGTATTTTGAAATGGTTATGAGTTGAACCATACAGAAATCCCCCACCCACCCCCATGCATACCACGATCATCTGAGACCGAGAAGTGCCATTTCCAAATCAGAGTGCAATTTCCCTTCATTTTGAAGGCATCAAGTTCTACCGAATACCTGTACAACTCTTAGTTTCAGATTGTGTTGTATAGTATCTGTTGCCAATGTATTGGGAATTTGGGCTTGGTTTATGAGCTCTTTGACCTGGATGTGTCCTGCTATTATTTGGAAAGCACTGTGTAACTATAAAAAATGTATTTTTGTGTACATTAGCTACATAGTGCTACCTCAAATACTGTTCTAAAACCAATGAGCATTTGATGGTTTTAGAACAAATGCAGAACACTCTGCTCCCCGCCCCCATAGCACTTCTCAATTGGACAAGTATCCTTATAATTTAATCTCATTCACAACAAGGCCCCCAAACTCATCTGGGAGAGCCAAGGCAGTCCCAGGTTGAAATCTCTGCTTGGTCATGAAGCCTAATTCATGACCTTGGGTCCTCCATTCTCTGTTAAGTCCAATCTACTGCTCAGGGTTGTTGTTGTGAGGATAAAACAGGGAAGAGCATATCATGGAGCTCCTTGAAGGGTTGGATACAAATAAAATAAATGCGATGAAACTGATCTACTCACCCTCCTCTGTATCTCTGGGATTGTCCACAACTTTGTCTCTCCTCTTTCCACTGAATGGTACTAAACTTGTAGCTTGATGGAGGTAGGTTCTGGGACTGGCAGGTTCTTACACATGCAGCGTTATTATTTTTTTAATGGTGAAGCATTAACTCTACCAGCCCATGCAAACCCCGCCCCCCATGCTGCTCTTATCTTTTCTGGCTTATTGGCCAACAACCCAAAAGTGACCCATGAAGCTAATTCACTTGATTGCTTTGCTCATCACTTTTTGCAAGCTCAGAAAGGTGAATGTTAGAAGCAAATTGCAAGAAAGTCACTAGTGCACCTGTTTTCGAATAAATCTGTGGCGCAACAAGGTCAGAGGGGCAGTAGATAGATCTGTATCAACTGATAGGTCTCTGAGTGGTCTTTGGTAGACTGGAATGGATTTCCAACTCCCTATTGTTGATAGTAGCACCAAAATCTCTCCCCCCACCTTCCACAATTATACTGGGTAACTTTCTGGGTAACCAGAAGTGGATTTTTAGCTCTTTTTCAGTTCTGTTACTCAAAACAAACTGAGCTTAATTCTAAGGGTATGTCACTAGAGGAACACTGAGATCAGAGGGAAATGAAATGTAAAAAAACAATCTAATGTGTTGAAACTTGAACTTATGTAAATAATTACAGTGATTATTCACAGAACAGTATCGATGATAATACAAAGATGCTGTTTGTTATTGGTCAGGTAATTAGCACTTGAAATTAGCGGGCTAAAAACCCACTAACTTGCTTCAAGCCACACAAGTGATAAATGTTAACAACTTGCTAAATTACAATTAATTGGTTTCACGCTGGAGTCTTCCTTCAACATTTGTTTACAAATGATCCTTTAAGGCCAGTAACGGTGTCTGAGATGTTAAAATATTCACTGAACAGTTTCTGATTACTGCCCTTTCTAATGCCATTATTGTGTCTATTATTTTGGGTGTTGGGAGAAAGTAACATGGGGGGGTGCTCCTCTGTGAGTGGGTGCTTTGGGTTCAGAGTCTTTTAAACAACTAGTGCTCTGGCAGTCTGGGAATGCCTGCGCTAGTCTTTTAAGTTCAAACAGTTAGGATACAGCAATGTTCTGATAGCATCCTTCATGCTTGGGCTGACACCAAATGCCTTGTTTACTTAGCTATAAATGGATGCCTGATCCAGTGAGCTGATGCAGTTCAAAGGTGGCTATACCTGGCAAGAAGCCAAATCCCTTTCGTCTGTTTTCATAAAAGATTTTTAGAAACAAATACCACCCAAGCCAGATGCCTCAGTTAAGGATCCGAATTCTGTATGCTACAGCTGATTTCTAGCTCCATCCTGCCTCTCTTCGACCTACAATGGTATTGTCTACATTTGTTCTGGCTTTTTTTCTTGCTGCTGCTGTTGCTTGGTTGGCTCATAGACATTCTCAGATGTTCACCTATGAACTTTGGGAGCACTATGTATACTTGATGCACCTTCCAGGTTTTTTTTTTAGTTAGTCCCTTTTCTGTGCAATGAAACACATACAGTGCAATGTTGCGTATGCTTAGAGTTTGGTCTAGTATCAATTCAGTGTACCGTCATCTTCTAGCATCATGTTTAGCAGTACTTTTAGCTTTGCTCCAAGTTGGGCTACCTGGAATGCAACTTTCCAAGAGCTGTGCAGCCTCAAAAGATGCTGAGGGAAATGACCCCCATTCTGTATTACAATATTCTGTAAGTAAGTCAGATGCACTGCCTTGGGAGAGCTAAAATCTCGCCCTCCTTATGTTCCACTGTATGCTGAACAACCTAAGAGTAGCACATTAAATGATTAAGACCAGCACTACTATTTTCCAATTTTTATTTTCAGTTTCAGTAGCTTAGTATACTTATTTGCATTGCAAATTACTTCAGCTGGACTAAATACTGAGCAGCTGGACTAAATACTGAGCACCATTACCAACAAGATCAGAATCCCAATTTCACCTGTTAGCATGCACTTTAAAAAAGGGGAAATCAACCCTTTAGCATTCGTTCACCACCCTGATTGAAAGGACAACTTAACTTACAAAGATCTGTTCAGCACCAAAATGAAAACGGGCAGCCTGACCCTTTGATGAAATAGGTTAGTATCTCACCATCCTAAGATACCTAGAATGCAGGGGATATCACTCAGCCTGTGAAGGGGTCAGCTGCCTCTGGGCATCTCTTTCACAAGTGTCTCTCCAAGCCATTTGCATAGCTGAGGCAGATGCTCCTGGAATTTTGGCACTCCGGGCCATTGCCTAGTTTGTCTCTAGGTTGGGCTGGCCCAGGACTAACCTATAACAAACCTATAAGAACGTAAAGAAGAGCCTGCTGGATCAGGCCAATGGCCCATCTAGTCCAGCATCCTGTTCTCACAGTGGCCAACCAGTTGCCCGTGGGAAACCCACAAGCAGGATTTGGGCACAACAGCACTCTGTCCACGTATATGTTATACTCTAGTAAAGAGAGGCATATGTGTCCTCATCTTTGTGACTTCAGCAGCAGGCATTCCAGTTAATAAGACAACATTTTAGGAGGAGGTGACCTGGCCTTTTTTTTTGTAGCAGCAGTGAGAATCCAATCTCTCTACTTGTCTCTTCAAGTCCTCTGTTCTACATGACTCCTACTTCTATCACCCAAAAACTATGCAATAGTATTTTTTTTAAACTAGCTTGCTATGCCAAGCTTCTTTTCGAAGCCTGAGGTTTGGTCTAGCTCTTCTCATAAGGCAGTCAAGAACAGTACTATACAGAAGTCGCCTGCTTACGCTTGAATTTAGTGTGCCAAATGGAGACTTGAAGGAAGTACACAGCTACCTTAGGAAGGAATGAGAGGACAGGTGAGGGGAATAGGGAGACGTTATCTAGAACTATAGCCTATTCTATTAGGGGAAAATTGCCAAAGCAGATTCCCCAGAACCTAAAATGAAGAATACAAAAAGTCATGTTACCTCTTGCTAAGGAGTGAGACAGACAGGCAGACAAACAAACAAACAAACAAACAAACAGACAGAAAATCTGATGTCTCTCCTTTTCCCTACCCGATAAAAAGAAGCTGCAGTTCTGCACAATTTTTGCCTGTTTATTGAAAAACCATGCTTATGGACAAACACACAGCTACTATGTGCCATGATGACTTTGGTCTGGCCTCTTCCCACAATACCAGTCTCCACTGGATTTTGGGCAGCGCTACATTTCCCCTGCCCTGCAAAGGTGATGGGGGCAAGATATCTATAGCCCTCTCTTCCCTTCCCACCACCAGAACGGAGGATGCTTTAAGAATCATAGAGTTGGAAGGGATCCCCAAGGGTCATCTAGTCCAACCCCCTGCAATGCAGGAAGGCGCCCTCCACCAGGGAAACCCACACCCAGTTTAGAACAGCTCTTCAGGGCTCCGCGTCTGCCACTGGTCGCAAGGTCAAGTATTGCCTGTTCAGATCAAAATCAACTGCAAACAAAAGAAAGGATGACGGAAGTCCCAAGAACGATCTGACCACTTGCAGGGTACGGGATGAGGAGGGAAAGTCAAGGAGGCAATGTGGTAGTAGACACTGGAAGATGGCTGGGAGGCTGATAAGGGATCCGTAACTTCAGTTCCGTTTCTTGAGCTGCGATGTTGCTTCTACTTCAAGATACTGCAGCCCAATCAGCATACCCAGGATGGAGAAACCTGAGACAGATGGAAAATGAGAGGGAGCAGAGGACATTGCTACCTCTTCTATATCTTTAGGAGGTGTAATAATAATAATAATAATTTATTATTTATACCCTGCCCATTAAAATACAGTAATGAATCAAACATTAAAAGCTTCCCTAAACAGGGCTGCCTTCAGATGTCTTCTAAAAGTCTGGTAGCTGTTGTTCTCTTTGACAGCAGGTGGGAGGGTGTTCCACAGGGTGGGTGCCACTACTGAGAAGGCCCTCTGCATGGTTCCCTATACCTTGGCTTCTCGCAGTGAGGGAACCACCAGAAGGCCCTCGGCGCTGGACCTCAGTGTTCGGGTAGAATGATGGGGGTGGAGACACTCCTTCAGATATACTGGACCAAGGACGTTTAGGGCTTTAAAGGTCAGCACCAACACTTTGAATTGTGCTCAGAAATGTACTGGGAGCCAAGGTAGGTCTTTCAAGACCGGTGGTATGTGGTCTCCGCAGCCAATCCCAGTAACCAGTCTAGCTGCTGCTTTCTGGATTAGTTGTAGTTTCCAGGTCACCTTCAAAGGTAGCCCCACATAGAGTGCATTGCAGTAGTCCAAGCGAGAGATAACCAGAGCATGCACTACTCTGGTGAGGCAGTCCGCGGGCAGATAGGGTCTCAGCCTGCGTACCAGATGGAGCTGGTAAATAGCTGCCCTGGACACAGAATTGACCTGCGCCTCCATGGACAGCTGTGAGTCCAAAATGACTCCTAGGCTGTGCACCTGGTCCTTCAGGGGCACAGTTACCCCATTCAGGACCAGGGAGTCCTCCACACCCGCCCGCCTCCTGTCCCCCCAAAACAGTACTTCTGTCTTGTCAGGATTCAACCTCAATCTGTTAGCCGCCATCCATCCTCCAACCGCCTCCAGGCACTCACACAGGATCTTCACCGCCTTCACTGGTTCGGATTTGAAAGAGAGGTAGAGCTGGGTATCATCCACATATTGATGGACACCCAGCCCAAACCCCCTGATGATCTCTCTCAGCGGCTGCATGTAGATGTTGAAAAGCATGGGGGAGAGGACAGAACCCTGAGGCACCCCACAAGTGAGAGCCCAGGGGTCTGAACACTCATCCCCCCCACTTTCTGAACACTAATTGCATTTGGTTACTAAAGCCCCCATTTCAGCTCTGTTCAGTTATGAAGCTTACTTGCTGGCTTTGGCCATATCACTGTCACTTAGCCTGTCCAACCAACCCATCGCAGGGAAAATGTGAAGGTAAGTTTATGATCTCAGGGGAAAAGCAGGCTACAGCTTTAACAAGCCAAGCACCAAAGAATGGGCTCTACTTACTTGCCACCATTAGGGGTGCCAAGACACCGATTGTTGCAGCTGCTGTGCCATAAATAAACACTTCAGAGAGGAAGTGGCCGAGGGCAAGGAAGAAGGTCAAAAGTGTGATGTTATAGAGGCTGCCGGAGAGAACAAAAAAATGAGAATTATTGCAGGCCACAGAGAGATGCCGACAAAGAAATTAAGAGTCAAGGAGTTTAGACAAAAAACACACAAAGCAAACACACTCAATTTTTGCACTATGCCAATATGATGATGCCTTCAAAATGCTGTTGGACTCCAACTCCCATGAGACCCCACCAGCATGGCCAGTGGTCAGGGATAATAGAAGTTGGAGTCTAGGAACATCTGGAAAGCACCACACTGGCTATCCGGTAATACAGCTACATGCTAGACTGGCTTCTGCATTTCTTGGAAATGACAGAGAGCCTCCTTCGTTGCTCAAATGGTAATTCAGATGAGCTGGTTCAGTCCATCTTCCACCCACTAGTCACCACATGGGATATATGGCCTTCCCCAGGCTGATTAATAGGATTAACAGCATGGATGGCAAGGGGTGTACCAAGTTGTGGTAGCTGGTATTGCTTTGGTTAAAGCAAAATGGATAAAAATCAACTGGGATTTTTTTATTTTAAAAGTATAGTGACTTCGAGAATAACCAGGTTTGAAGTGACCCTCGATTTACCATCAAAATGTTGAAAACCTACACATACAGCACAACCCTTTATGTCTTCCCAGAAGTACATCCCAGCATTGCTCACTCACCTGCACGGTAAAAAATTACTTTGGTATTATCTAAATCCCTCTTCTTATTAGGGCTAAATTGACATCACAATTGGAAAAGAACTGGGGACAGGTTTCAGACTTGCCGCGTAACTCTGGGGAAGCAAACAGACCGAGTGCCCGTTCTCCTTTAAAAGTACACCTCACCTTGTCGAATGACACAGTACAAATAGCTCCCTCTCAGCATGTAGCTCCTTGCCACTCTGGGAAATGGGAGATGAAGCTGCCAACTTCGATGATAAAAAAAAGAGAGCTACTGTGGCTTTTCACACATTATTCCTGTCGAGCCAACAGAGTGGAAGGAGGGTGAACTGGCTTGCATCTCTGGAACAGACTCCTCAGCTAAACTCTTATCAGTTATGCTTGCACAGAGGGTAATGGGGACAGCATAGTGCTTTGAAGCCATGGAAGTATTACTAATGAATGAGGACGAAATGGCTACATTTTACTTTAAGTATGTTTGCAGCACTGGCAGTTTAAAAAAGAATTGCAATCCAAAAACCTTGCCCTGTGAAACTTAATCTGTGCTTTCAAGTCCACATCTTTCTCTGTAAATAAGTGACATTTAAATTGTGTTTGCAAATGTATTATGTCAATCATGGTGATTTTAAATAAATATATGAAATAGAAACAAAAACTCTGGTATGTTTATAAACTGTATGCCATTTGCTTTCCAGTCCTAGGCCATCAAGGTTGAAACCCCAACTCGAGCCATGATGCTTACTGGGTAACCTTGGGCCACTCACACTCTTTCAGCCTAATCTTCCTCACGGGGTTGTTGTGAGGATAAAATGTGGAGGAGAGAAATGTGTATGCCAGCTTGAGCTCTGTGGAGGAAAGGTTGATCTAGAAATGCAATAAATAAAGCAGATCGTGCAACTAAAATCAAACTGCAAATTGTGTAAATGGTCAGTTTCGTGTAACTGAGGACGCTTTAACCAGGACTGGGATGATGGAGGGCAAGGGGGGAAAGGAGGAAGAATGGTCTTCATCCTGATGCTTATAAACATGTCAGTCTTACTGATTTCAGTACAATTTAACTTTCTGGTAAGTGTGCTTCACTGTCACTTTGCTTCATCTGCCAGCGGAATAGGAAGGCAAAGGAAGGGAACCCTGTCAATGTAGATGAAAGAGTGATGAAAATGCAAGCAACAAGAGAAAGGGGTTTGTGGGGGTATATTTTTTAAAATGTCAAGATCAGGAGCAGGCAGTCTATTGCAGAGGACTGAAAGCTATTGTGGGTGAACTCTGAGCTGTGCTTCCTTACAGAGGTCCCATATGCCCAACTTGCTATTTTTATAAATTTCTCCAAGCAACTATTCAACCAGACCTCAAATGCTACCACCTGCTTTTCTTTTATAAAAAGGTTACCAGCTTCAAAAGCTCTTTGCATTTATCCATCAACTGCTCCTTTAACAGTTTGTTATTTTTATCACAGGAAGCCTTCCACTGACAGTTCAAGACCAAGACAGTAGACTGTTGTCCCATCTTAAGCCTCCCGCAGAGGCTCTCCTGACCTCTCAGACAAGCAAACTAGGTCTCTTAGCACACACAGTGCCAAGCTAATGCTGAAGTCAAGCCAAATAGAAACATAAGCTCAGTCCATTCATGCATATGGCTTTCTTGGAAATCACTGACACAAAATATATGAATGGAATAGAAGTTCCAAAAACAACTTCCAACAGAAGATGACTGAAAGTGTACTTGCGAGCTATCCAAATATCACCAAAAGATAGGGCGAATACCCAATTAGAGTGTTTCCACTTTTTATTCCAGACCTCTAAACAAACATGTGCTATAGAATAACTACCTACATTTTGATCTTGCATCAGTATTATGCTAAACAGTCTTTCCTTCATGCCTGTGCGAATGAAGCATTTCAACTGTTGCCTCAACTGTACAAGCTGCGTGATAAAAGAGTTTAGGATAACCGGGAGGGAGTCAGGCAGTGACACCATGAGGGTCTGCACCAGCCAGATTATTCCCTCCTCCCATATAACCAACACCATCAGCCACGTGTGAAGGAAAAAGAAGGGCATGGGGAGGGTTTTATTTTCATTTGCTGGTATAAGATGTGTAAAATTGTAAATCGGCTCTAGTGCCTTGGCAAAAAGGTGGTATAAAAACCAATAAATAAATAAACCATTGCCCTCCAGATAAGTGTTGGACTACAACTCCCATCTTCCCTGACCAATGGCCATGCTGGCTGTGTCTGATGGAAGGTGGAGTCCAACGACATTTGGAGGGCCACAGGTTACCAACCCCAGCTATAGGGGAATAGAAAAGAGTTGCTGTGGCACCTAAGTGTGTACATGATTGGGAGGTGGGTAAGACAACCGCCCCCCCCCCCCTTTAGCATTTAGTTTACATACGTCTTGTTGCGGATATCAATGGCACAGTAGCAGCGAATTACAGAGGAGAGTAAGGTCCAAATGCCAAAGGTCCGAGCCTGGAGGCCATTTACTGTGTAGAGATAACAAATATAGAATTACTAGGGTCTGTCGCCCCGCTTGCTCCGCTCACTAACCCCACCAACCCCTTTGTCCACCCCTCCTCCCTTTACACATGACCAACCTCTCTTTATGCTCGCTGACCCCTTACCCATCCCCTCACAGCTCCCTCCACAGTTCAGCCCAAGCCCCTCTGCCCATTGCTCCTGCCAGGCCACACCATCTTTTAAAGGAGGGGTCAGGGGCTTTGCAGAGCAGTTTGGCAAACTCCAACGTGATGGCAGGCAAGTGGCCAAGGAAACCTGTTTAACAACGAAGCAGGCACTTCACCAAGCAGTTTAACAAACCACTCTGTGAAGCACCTGCCCTTCTCCATTAAGCCTTATTGCAGCCATGGTTACTGGTGGGAGGGGGACGACCATTTGGGAAGCGCTTTCCAAAGTGGTTTGCAAAATCGCTCTGTGAAGCACATCCTCCCGTTTAAACAGCTTGCCTAGGCTGCCTGCCACCAAGTCGTCTACCTGCCTGCCATCATGGTGGAGTTGACAAAGGCAGCCACATGAACTGCAGTATGACATCCATACATTTTTATGTATATACAGGTGGGGGGCAACTATCTTTTCTGATACTCTCCCAGTCTAGGCAAAGCTAAGCAGTAGGTATGGATAGGGCTCAAGACTAATGGAGTTGGAAAGCGTCGTAGGGGTCAAGGTATTTCCAAATGATGGAGCAGGGAAAATGCTACTGGCAATTAATTAAAACTACTTGTTTACTTGAAGTTTGGTTTACTGGTACTTTAGCTGAAGCCAGAAGATCTACACATAAGGGTACGTGGTTGTGTTTGGGATGGAAGGACTAGTCTTAAAAAATGTAGATGAGCTATTCAGCATTGGACAGGAATGCATGTATAACTTTGAAGGGGACAAAAATCTAGAAAAGGTGGCAGTGAATTCAAAATGGTGTGGAAGAGCTTGATAATGTGCTTCAATAGGTGCCTATGCCTCTATCATAAGGTCTTTTCTGCATAAAAAGACATCCATAATATCTGCACTTGCTGGGCCAAGAGATACCTTTTACTAACAATTCTGGTTAGTGGCTTGAATGCTGTTCAACAGTGATTGTCTGCAATGGGAAGTTTTGCTGGGATGATGTCATCTGGTGGTTGCGTGCCAGCAGCACAGTCTTTTCAGATGGACCATAAAATCTGGAAATGCCCAAAGCTCATAACATGGCAGGATTTGCTAGACTCTTCTTGTACTGTGAGTATAATTGTATTACGTAAGTGTCTGAGATTGTATTTCTTAGATGGGGAAATATAGTGGATTGGCTGATTGTAGAATCAAAGGACATGTGGAACTGTGCATTCACTTTGAAGCAAATAAGCCCATAAGGACCCATGGAAAATGTTCGTTTTAGTACTGCAGTAAATGCTTGAGACCACTCCAATGTGGATATGGAACTGCACTATCTTCTGCGATAATGCATTATGAGGTGGCAGAATATCACTACGGGTGAAAGGGAGATTAATGGAAAAGACTTTAACTCAATGGCAGAGCACATGCATAGTATGCAAAAGGTCTCAGGTTCAATCCCTGGCATCTCCAAGTAGGGGTGGAAAATTCCTAAGTCTGCAACCCAGAAGAACCACTGCCAGTAAGAGTAAATCACATCGAGATAGGTGGACCAGTGGATCACTTTGGTATAAAGCTGCATCCTATGTTCCTAAGGGCTGTCTGACACACTTGCAACTATGTGGTCTTATATTTATTTCACCACATACACATGCTCCAGAAAGCTACAATGGGCTCCTGCTCTCCATTTCATGTACAAATAGTGAAACAAACACAAGCCTCTTTTTTTACACATCATTGACGTTTTGGTATACCAAAGGTACACAGAGTGTTTCACCTAAATTTGTAACATGTTTAGTGGCCTTCAAGCTGTTACTGTTCAAGCAAAAATAGCACTAGCCACATCTAGAAGTTTAAGTAAGCAGAAGGTGGGTTATTTTGAAATCTGAACAAAAATTTTCAGAGCTCAGGCAAGATAACCCAGGATTAAGGTTCCAGCATTTCTTGAGTGCAAAAATGACAACCTATGCATCTTACCGAGGCTTGGTTTGCCAGTGTATAGTTTCTCAGAGAGGAAACTGTGATCTCTGAAGCTTTGCACTGTGTTCCCCATGGCAATAATGGACACCATAACTAGCCAGCTACGGAGTACATTCAGGAAACGGCTCATCTTGAAGTGTCAAAACACAATCTGCTAATGGGAACAAAGACAGAATCCAGAATTCACAATGCTTCCATGCATCATAATTCAGTCACCCTTCTTTTACCATGTCTCTAACCTTTCCTCCTAAAGTAGTGTAAAGAAGCTTCATAAGAATCACAGCAAGGGGCATAAGTTTATTTTATCACTCCCCTTCATCCAATTTGTCCTATACGATAGCATTCCATAATAATTACAAAGATGGAAATCTCACACGCATCGTCCACAAAGCCACTGGCCTTTCTTCCAGAGAGGACTGGTAGCTAGCTGTCTTTACTTTGATCCGCTGCATGCTGCCTTGGGGTTAAACCACAATGGACACGGCAGGGCTTATTTCACAGTAAATACATTTAGGATTGGCTATTGGAGAGAGGATCAGCCTTGAGAAACCATTTTATGTTCAAAATCCTAATTTAATTTATAGCAGAGATAGCTGGCTGCCCAAGGGGGAAAAAGGGAGCACGAGGCACACATGGTTTTCCTATTAAGATGCTTAGCTTTCTGCCTATACAGATATATCCAGTTTAGACGATTGCATTTAGGAATGATGATCTTAAACGCTAACTCGCTTCTTTGCAGCCTTGTAGTTGGCCCTAGCATTAACCATTCTCGCCCCTCTCCCACTGAAGGGACCAACGTTTGTACCTACAACGTTTGTCATATCTAGGAATGCCCTCAGCTCGCCCAAATTCAGTTCCCACGCTGCAATGCCACCTGCTCGCTTAACCTCCAAACCTACCAGCATCCACATCGCGCCTCTTCGTTATCCTCCACCCCTCAAAATGCAACCCCACCCATCAATGGACACCCTACATCGCCTTACCTGGTCCTCAGCCGCAGCAGCTCTCCACCCTCCCTCAAGCCAGAGCAGCAGCAGCAGCAGCAAGCACCAGTCCCGCCTCCCCGCACTCTACGCAACGATTAGCGCACTGTTGGAGCTTGCCTTCCCCTGATTGGCCGCTACGCCCATAGCTAGACCTCTCCTCCGCGCCACATGGAAGGGTAAGCGACTGCGCCAATCACACGCGTGGAACCCTTCTGAGGCGCTGTGACGTTTTCATCAAAGGCGGGGTTAGAAGAACCGACGGCGCTACGGCCTCCTCGGTTCATTTTCTTTCTTTTTAACAGAGGGAATCTTGCAAGACGCCATCTTAGCAGAGGCAGAGGTTCGAACGAACGGGCGAGTGTTCCTTTGTGCGCACGCGCTCGAGGAAGGAACCCGAGCGGGAGCCGAGAGCCGGCGCTTGCGCAGACGCGTCTTGGGCGAGGGAGGGAACGGTTGCCTGTTGGTTGTTGTAGTAACAGGAGAAGCGCCGGCGGGAGACGCGGCTACCGGGCCCGAAGGGAGATGAAGCAGCAGGTAGGGCGCTGGGGGAGCCCGGCAGTGACGGCGCTGGCAGCTGCAGAGCTTGCTTAGGCCGGCGGGTTGTGCTTGGGCGGCGGCAGCGTCTTCTCCCCCGCTCGACAGGAAGGACCAGGCGGCCGGGCGGGGGGGGGGGGAACCTGCCTTGGAACCGAGGGCGAGGGGCGCCTCTCGCCCCAACAGCCCCCTTTTGCCTAAATAGAGGGCCAGGCCAGGGCGGCCCGGCTGGCAGGCTGAGCAGCAAAGTTCGCGGAGTTCGCAGCGGTGATTCCTGAGGGCCACGTGCAGGACCCACTTTCCCCTCACACTTTCACCCCCCAACCCCCTACAGATGGGATGGGGCCCCGTTTGTGGGGGAAACGCGTCCTGTGGGAACGGTGTGCGCTTCAAGTTGGGGCTGAGAGACGTCGCTACCCACTTGCAGTGTCTCCCCCCTCCCCCCCTCGGTGTCTCTGCACCTCAATCCCTAGGGCTGCCTGATTAAAATTAAACATCTTATTTTGAACAAACTCCGCAGTTTTGGGTTGCGGAGCGACGTTATCCCACTGTGGTGTGTGGGGGGAGGGATTGGAGTTTCATTTTGAGGAAGGAGCTGTAGGAAAGCTTGCCTCCGGCTGCCGGGAAAAGAGCCCCCAAAGTCCCAGTAGGAGAGTGTGAACCGAATAAAAAGTTGATAAGGAAACGGTGCTGAGCTGAATCTGAGTTGAACTTCTGACAACCGGCAAGTTTTCAGCACAGGCGCCTCTCTCAGCTCTCCCCTTCCAGTCTATGGTATATTGTATAATCTTTCAAGCTGGTAGATTAGAGCCGGTGAATTAGTGGGCAATACATGTCAGCGTGTCTGGGATAAGGATATATGTAACTGTCAGGTTGTGACTGGAGTGGATATTTTAAGTGTTGATTCCCATAGCAGTACTAGTAGTGTAACTCACCTGGAGGAGGAAGGCAATCATAGTACAGTGGTACCTCAGGTTACATACGCTTCAGGTTACAGACTCTGTTAACCCAGAAATAGTGCTTCAGGTTAAGAACTTTGCTTCAGGATGAGAACAGAAATCATGTTCCAGCGGCACAGTGGCAGCAGGAGGCCCCATTATCTAAGGTGGTGCTTCAGGTTAAGAACAGTTTCAGGTTAAGAACGGACCTCCGGAACGAATTAAGTACTTAACCCGAGGTACCACTGTACAGCCTTCTGCCAGTTATTTGTTCATTTAATTTTATCAGGTATATTTATAAACCTCTGAGCCTCAAGGTAATGCCATGCACTATACAGAAATACAAATAAAATAAGTAAGAATAGATAAGCGTTCTCAAAATGCAGGAGGCACTGTTGCCATTTCTGCATGAAGTGCCTGTGAAAATATGGCTTAGATCAATATTAAAGGTGGTCTGTTAGAGAGTATTAATTATTCATATTGGTATCCTCCCCTTTCTCTAATAAGCTCAGGGTGGTGTATCATATTTTATGATTATTGTGAAATAGTAACTTCGCTCATAGGCATTGCGGTTGAGAGGGATTATTACCTATGTTCTCGATACCCAGATTCAGCACTCTTGTCATGACACCACCCTGACTTTCTTTGTAAGGGAGGAAATAATGCCAGGGTGCTCCATATCTGCAGTTTACTCAAAGCAGTCATTTTGTTGTTGTTGTTGTAGAAAACAGCACTGGTGGATAGGTTTACTGATTGTACGGGGGAGAGTTTGAGAGGCCATCGTTTCTGGGCTGTATGAAAACGTCCACAGGAAATGCCCGTTGGAATGGCTCGGGACTTGGAAGAAACAGATTCGTCCTCAGAGGAAGAGGAAGTGGTGGAAGGACCAGAGTGAGTTAACATGGTACCTGTATATGACATTGAAACTGTACATCTTGCATCTCATCATCCATACTTGGAATATTATTTCTCGTTGTTAAAGGGGGGGTGTTGGTTGGTTACAATGCATGAAAAATCAGTATTCAACTTGCACCCGAATATTCTTTTAGAGCCTGAAAAGCTGTGTTCTCCTGTAATTCTGGAGTCAGGAAGATGGAATAGTTATACATGAACATACAAAGCTGCGTTATACCAGATCAGACTGTTTGTCCATCTAGTCCAGTGTTCTCTACTCTGACTGACTGTGACTCTCCAAGGTCTTTCTTGCTCTCTGATCCTTTAGCTAATAATAATAATAATAATAATAATAATTTTTATTTATACCCCGCCCTCCCTGGCCAAAACCGGGCTCAGAGCGGCTAATATCAAATGTATAACACATTAACATAAAATCAGGCAATCAATTAAAATACATCCTAAAATCAGATCAAGATCAGAATAAAATCCAGTCAGATGGCAATCCGCAGATAAGGGTTCGGGACCTTAAATGCTCACCAGGACCAACTGTTTGTGCTGAACTTATATGAGCCTATGAGAAAAATTGGGAGGCCACTTTCATGCACGTTCTTATGGAAGGGGAGAGGGAGTCAGACCCCAACCAAAGACCTGGCGGAACAGCTCCGTCTTGCAGGCCCTGCGGAAAGATGTCAAATCCCTCAGGGCCCTGGTCTCTTGTGACAGAGTGTTCCACCAGGCCGGGGCCATGGCCGAAAAGGCCTAGGCCCTGGTCGAGGCCAGTCTAATCTTCTTGAGGCTCAGGACCTCCAAGATGTTATTATTTGCGGACCATAAGGTCCTCCATGGGGCATACCAGGAGAGGCGGTCCCATAGGTACGAGGGTCCTAGGCCGTATAGGGCTTTAAAGGTTAAAACCAGCACCTTAAACCTGATCCTGTACTTTGCCAGGAGCCAGTGCAGCTGGTGTAGCACTGGATGAATGTGATTCCGCATCGAGGACCCCATAAGGAGTCTCGCTGCGGCATTCTGCACCCACTGGTGTTTCTGGGTCAGCTTCAAGGGCAGCCCCACGTAGAGTGAATTACAATAATCAAGCCTGGAGGGTGACCGTTGCATGGATCACAGTGGCAAGATCAGGGCGAGAGAGGTAAGGGACCAATTGCTTAGCACGCGGAGATGGAAAAATGCCGCCTTTGTTGTAGCTATAACCTGCACCTCCATAGAAAGGGCGTTGTTGAAGATTACACCCAGACTCTTGACAGAAGGCGCTGGCACTAATTGCGCCCCTGCAAGAGATAGGAGTTGGTCCACCAACGCCATGTCATCCCGACCCAGCCAAAGGGTCTTCGAAGGATTTAACTGCAACCGGCTCCCACGCAGCCATCCAGCCACAGCTTCCAAGCACCTGATCAGTGTGTCCGGGGCCAAGTCAGGCTAGCCGTCCATCAACAGATAAAGATGGATGTCATCAGCATACTGGTGGCAACCCAAACCAAAACTCCAGACAAGCTGGGTGAGGGGGCATATAAATATGTTAAAAAGCATGGGGAGAGGATTGCACCCTGCGGCATGTCACACACCAAGGAGTGCCGTGACGACAACTCCTCCCCTAGTGCTACCCTCTGTCCCTGACCTGAAAGGAAAGAGCACAGCCATTGTAGGACTGTGCCCTAAATCCCCATGTCGACAAGGCGGTGCTCCAGAAGTTCGTAATCAACCATGTCAAAGCCTGCTGACAGATCTAGAAGAATCAGCAGTCCTGACCAGCCTCGATCCAGCTGACTACAGAGGTCATCTGTTAGGGTGGCCAGAACCGTCTCGGTCCTGTGACCAGGGCAAAAGCCGGTCTGAAATGGATGCTGGGGACTGAACTTAGGATCTTCTATTCAAAGCACTTGCTCTATCACTGAGTTATGGGTAGGGTATAATTATAATTATTATTATTATTACCATGAGACAGAGTGAGACAGTTGCCTCAGGTGGCAGATTGGAGAGAGCTCTGTGTGTGTGCTATGCAAACCTTTCCCTCATCCACTAAACTAGGCCCCTTCCCTCAGGGTGCTGTGGAGGATGTTGAAATAAGATTAAATGGTTTGCTGAGCTATTGTATGTATAATAGACTCCTGGGAGGCAACTTTTCGCCCTTTGCAATATGCCTTTGGCTGGCTCTGGCTTCTTTCTGAATGGTTATCTTTAATTATCACCAATTTTTATGATCTTGTTATTAATCATCTTTAACAGATACTGCCATGACTTACTAATGGGTCCTTTGGTGGTTGCCACCAACCCCCTCTCTTTCCCCAAGTCTTTTGGAGTGCATGGAGAACTCTGAAAGGTGGAGGTTATTCTCTCACCTGTGCTGTGGTTTGGAAAAAACTTTGTTGTTTCTTATCCAAAGTACAAGGCAAGTGAGATAAAACCCTGCTTGCTAGAGAGTAGGTAGTGATCTGTGCTCATCTGTATTCATGTTTAGAGAAGATGAGAAACATCAAGTGATTTCTTAGCTTCTCCAAATTGTTTGTAATTGAACATCCACCTAACCTGAGAGCCTGGGCAGCTCTGGATCTGTCAATACTTGCAGGTAAATAGAAGATGATACTGAAATACAAGAGGTTTGGGAACCTTATCCTGTTTCATATGCTGTATTTGTAGAGGTCTGAATCTTCTAAAATGTTAGCCCTGAGCCATAGAGAAATGGTACAATAGAGAAAAAACCTCTTGCTAACCAGTCATGCTACTAGCATCAAGCGGCAGCAGTATCTATTCCTGAGTAATATGTGTGGCGCTTCTATCCCAGCTTGTCGCTATAAGATCATTTTCATAGTATTAAGAATTGAAAAATGGGGCGTGGGTGGCGCTGTGGGTTAAACCACAGAGCCTAGGACTTGCCGATCAGAAGGTCGGCGGTTTGAATC